TGAAAGGAGATATGGTCAGAGACCTAGCTCTTCACTAATTCCTGGGCAGCAACTAATCATCTGGCTGGATGGCTTAGAAGCTCAGGAGGAGTGAGACCAGGGGAACTGTTAAGACATCTGGGAGAAAGTTATACGTAAGATCCTCGCAGAATGAGTCCCAGGTGTGACAATAACTGTATCCCATGTAACTGTCACCAAAGAGTACCATTGCATATGAGGCTCTTAATAATCAGGCGAGCAGGGTGGCACACTCTGGATGTCAGCCAGCCTCTTCCTAAGCAGCCAGCATGCCACCTGGTCGATGGCCTTGTTGACGAGCCAGCACTGAGTGGCTGGAGAAAGAGGTGGAAGCAGGGCAAGCTGGAGCTTTTGGCCCTGCTGCTGCTTGGGTAGCAGGTACCAGCGGTGGAGGAGACTGTGAACTCTCCTTCTCCTGCACGGTGGAGCCTTCAACCACGGGAGGGCCATATGCCAGGTTAGTGAAGCGTCAGCGTTCCCATGAGAAAGAGTCACATCCAAGAGCAGAGTGGGCTGCATCCCGTTTATCATCCCAGAAGTTACCACGTCGATGAAGAAGCCAGGCGGCTGGAGAACAGAAGGCCGGCGATCACGTGTCAGCAGCCACTCCTCGCTGAGGAGGCAGAGGGGATGTGACTCCTAGCTCCCAGCTGGGAAGGCACAGTCTGGGGAAAGAGGCGCTCTCCATTGCGAATCCACGTCCAAAGTAGAGAGAGCGTCCTCCGTTCCCTCCAGTGTCGGCCAGTTGCGGGGCTTCCAGCAGCCATGCGGGCAGACGCTGCCACCGCCATCCCCATCTGGTCCCTCTGCCGCCCCCTTTCCACCCACTCCTCAGTGAAACTCCGCTGATATTTGCTCATACCTAGATATGCTCAGTCTCTTGATCCTCGTCTGTGCGATCACTACACCTGCTTCCTTGCCTTGTACCAAACAGTGACTCGCAAATCAGATTTCGGAAACTGGGGAGCGTTACTTCACCAACCAAAGGTCTATGCATGAGGCCCAAGGTTGGAACACAATATTTGGGATTTTTAAAACGTAATGAACGGGTGGAGTATTTCTCCAATATTCCCAAGAGCAGGCACTGGAGGGTAGAATATCGAGACACTTCACAGGCTTCAAGCACATTTGTCTCAGGTCATTCTCTGTAAATGAAGACATTTCCCAAGAAGGGGCTTCTCCATGTTTCAGAAGGCTTTATGAGCTTCATTTGATGCTGGAGGAAGAATTACCAGCTCTCAGTGCACAGGTCCATCCCATTCCCAGCGCGGATCTGGAAATCACAGGCTGCCAACCTCTGGAAGGGTCTCCATGGTCTCTGGCTCAGATCTGTGAAGTCCCTGAGCATGTTTGCAGAACGGGGAGGGAGCAAGGGGGGCTTCTGGGGAGATGTGAGGAGACTGAGTGAGGCTGCAGAAAAGCAGCGTATTGGAAGGAGCCCCGAGTTGCCAGGTCTGGTTGTGAGACTCTCCCTTAAACTTCCTTGGTCCTCATTTTCCTTCAAGTGTTGAGGAGAAAGTCCTCTCAGAATCTGCAAGGAGTGTAAACGTGCTGTCTTTCTATCCTTACAACTCCCATTACACTCCAGCTCCCCATTGTCTCTCTCTTCCCCTCACAGCCAAACTTCCGGAAGGAATTTTTCATACAGGCCCTGCCTGGTTGCCCCAGGTTGCCCCAGGACATGGTACCTAAGAGTGTGGGCTCTGGACTCAAACTGTTCAGGTTCATATCTTGGTGTCCCCACGTGGCTGTGGCCTTAGGCAAATGACTTCTCCTGTGCCTCACTTTGTGTGTGTATAAGTAAGGATGAGAACGGTACTTCCCTCAGCGTGGGAAGTTAAGGATTAAATGCCTTGGTTTCTACAAAGTGCCTGGAATAGTGTGTGGCATGTAATAGCCCTAGGTAAATACAGCCGCTACTGTCTTTCAAATCTCAGCTTAAGGCTAGTTTCTCAGAAATTCCTTCGGCAGCCTCCCAGTTAGAGTCAGGCTTCCACAGTTCTCACCTAAGTTGTGATGAGGTATTTGTGGTGGTGTTCATTACTGCCCTCACCTGGGATACTGTAAGGTCAAAGAGAGCGGAAATTGCCTCTGTGTTTGTCAATATTGTATTCCCAGTGCTTAGCAGGGCCTGGCACATGGCAGGAGCAAGTAAACACTTGTTGACATATAATTCCCACAGGAATGGGTGAGGGAATGAGTGAGTGCCCGCCTGCATCCAAGCATGAAGGGAGGCAGCCTCAGGGAGCCAGAGCCCCCATATCCCTTGATAAACTCACTATGGAAGACATCTTTGGCCAAAGGATACCTGGTGGCTTGACAGACTGACTATGACTCCCAAAGGGAGCCTTGTAGGGAGTCCCTTTGGGCATGAGAAAGCCCACTATGAGCCAAAGATTGTGCATGTCTTGGAGAAGTCGCTGTTTGCACATGAGTGTCATTAATTCAGACTCTGTGACATCGAACGAATCCCATCACTCAGTGGGTCTGGTGGTTCAAAAACACGCTTGGCTACTTACTAGAATCCTTCAGGAATTTTTTTTTTTTTTTTAGATTTTATTTATTTATTTGAGAGAGAGAGAATGAAAGAACACATGAGAGGGGATAGGGTCAGAGGGCAAAGCAGACTCCCTGCCGAGCAGGGAGCCCGATGCAGGACTCGATCCAGGGACTCCAGGATCATGACCTGAGCCGAAGGCAGTCGCTTAACCAACTGAGCCACCCAGGCGCCCGGATTTTTTTTTTTTTTTTAAAGATTTTATTTATTTGTCAGAGAGAGAGCGAGTACAGGCAGGGGGAGAGGAAGAGGGAGAAGCAGGCTCCCTACCGAGCAGAGAGCCCCACGCGGGACTCGATCCCAGGACCCCGGGATCATGACCTGAGCCGAAGGCAGCCGTTTAACCCACTGAGTCACCCAGGCGTCCCGAATCCTTCAGGAATTTTTGAGAAAGGTATAGATTGCTGAGTCCCACCCCACCTGCAAATCCCCCAGAGTTTATCCTGGGGACCTGTATTTGTTAAAAGCTCCTCAGGTGATTCTGCAGCCTGCATAGACCAGCATCGGAGAACCTCTCCTGTTACCAAATTCCATCATTTTACAGAGAAAGAAGCAGAGGCACACTGACACCATGTCAAGATGCATAGCATGATTTTTTTAATGAACAAGGAAGTAAACATAATTTGGTTGGGACCAGAAAATAGGGTATGCTTTTTGAAACAGTGCATAATACAAATAATGTGCATGTTGGGGTTCATTAGCATGGCAATAAGGCCCTGATGAGAAAGCCCTGGCAGCACCCCGTCCCCCTCCTATTGCGATCTGAGCAAAGGTATTAGGGTGTCTGGCAGACTCAGCCAAGTTTCCACCAGTAGACTCGCCACTCTTGGCTGGGGTGTATTTGCCAAGTTCAAGACAGAATGATCCGGTGTTACTTGTCTAAGTGCTGACGGCCCCAGACACAATGCCAAGTCCCTCCATGTAGGGGCTCTGCACCTGAGTGTTTCTGGTTTGTGAGAACACAGCAATCAAAGCGATCCCATTCCAGACTCAGAGTTTCTCAACCTGGGCACTATTGGCTTTTATCAGATAATTCCTCGAGGGGGGAGGGGATAGCTATCCTACACATTGTAGTATGTTTGGGTTTTTTTGTTTTGCTTTGTTTTGTTTTTAAGTAGGCTCCACACCCAGCGTGAAGCCCAATGTGGGGCTTGAACTCACAACCCTGAGATAGAGACCTGAGCTGAGATCAAGAATTGGACACTTAACCGACTGAGCCACCCAGCTGCCCCTGCATTGTAGTATGTTGAACAGCGTTCATGGCTTCTGCCCGCTAAAGAAGAACAAAAATATCTGCAGACATTGCCAAACCTCCCCTGGAAAGACAAAATTGTCCTCTCTGCCCCACTGAGCACTATTTATTTATTTAACCTTACAAATTTATTACATTGTTTATCTAACCTTACAAATCCACCTTACAATGAATCAAAGGACTTTTAGCATTAGATCAGGAATTTTTACTGGAGCCTTTTCCCCTATGGAGAAAATATTTAAAAATATTTCTATGGGTTTCATGAACAAAACCCCAAAACTCACAAGCCAAAAGGAAGAGTGGTAAATTTGCCTGCATTAAAATGTTAATGATAGATGATAAAAGCATTTATCACTTACAATGTTGCCACAGATTGGGAAAAAGTATTTGCAACACAAATAATCAACAAAGAATTAGTCTTTGGGATATATAAAGGACATCTTTGAATCAATAATAACAAGAAAAACACTCAGTAGAAGAATGGGCAAAGGATATGGTAGCCAGTCTCTGAAAGAGAAGCTCCAAGGGCCATTACACACATGGAAAACACTCAACCCCATTGGTAGACAGGGAAATGAAAATTGAAGTAATCAGACCCTACCACTCATCAGGGATTTAACAGTAAATTAACAGGTTGATAGAACCAGGGGTTGGGGAAGGTCTTGACTAATGGTATCTACTCTCCTCCTCCACTAGTGGAGGCATAAACTGGCAAAATCACTTTGGAAAGCTGTGTAGTATTATCAGAATGTACATACACCTGATAATCCTGCAATTACTCTCCTGACTATATACCCTGGAAACTAACATATCTCCATGAAGAAACACATACAAGGAGTTCGTTACAACTATGTTTGCAAAAATGAAAAACCAAATTCTACCGACCAAGTGGTGAATGGATAAATATTTAAGGCACACATGCACTCAGTAAAACATTATGAACATTAGGGCGCCTGGGTGGCTCAGTTGGTTAAGCGACTGCCTTTGGCTCAGGTCATGATCCTGGAGTCCCGGGATCGAGTCCCGCATTGGGCTCCCTGCTCAGCGGGGAGTCTGCTTCTCCCTCTCACCCTCCCCCCTCTCATGTGCTCTCTCTCTCATTCTCTCTCTTTCAAATAAATAAGTAAACTGTTTAAAACAAAAGAAAACAAACAAAAAAACCCACAATGAGCATTAGAAATGAATTGCCAGCTATACAGACTATGTTTAATGGGAAAAATTGTATTTTGAAGGATATTACAGCATGGATCCAATTACATAGTGCTTAAAAACAACATACTATATAACATTTATAGACATATGCATGTTATTAATAAAAATAAAAAAACATGGATGAAACTTGGATAAGAGGAGAGGAAGGAAATGGGATGCAGGAGGTCTACAATTGTGTTTACAATGTTTTATTTTTAAAACAGAAACACATTAGAAAGAAAAATGATGGGGCGCCTGGGTGGCTCAGTCATTAAGCTTCTGGCTTCGGCTTCGGTCATGATCCCAGAGTCCTGGGATCAAGCCCCGCACCGGGCTCCTGCTCGGCGGGAAGTCTGCTTCTCCCTCTCCCACTCCCCCTGCTTGTGTTCCCTCTCTCGATGTGTCTCTCTCTGTCAAATAAATAAATAAATATCTTTAAAAAAAAAAAAAAGAAAAGAAAAATAACAAAATGTTACCCTGTGTTTATTAGGGATGATGGATATGTGGGCTTAGCAATGGTTTCATTTCTTTAGACTTGCTGGAATGTTTGAAATATTTTATATTTTTAAAAAATAAACTTTAAAAAAATAAGTACATCTGGAAAAGGCAGAACTATAGGGATGAAAAATAGATAGTTGCTAAGGGCTGGGGATAAGTATAGAGGTTAAGGAGCCCCAGAAATTTTGAGGGGTGATGGAATCCTATATTTTGGTCATGGTGGTGACAACTATATGCATTTGTCCAAACTCACAAAAGACTTTTATAAATTTTTATAAATTATACCTCAATTTAAAAAAAGAAAAAGAGAGCGCCTGGGGGGCTCAGTCAGTTAAGTGTCTGCCTTTGGCTCTGGTCATGATTCCAGGGTCCTGGAATCAAGCCCCACATTGGGCTCCCTGATTAGCGGGGAGCCTGCTTCTCCCTCTCTCTCTGTCCGTCTCCCCACTCACTCTCTGTCTCTGTCAAATAAATAAATAAAATCTTTAAAAAAGTTAAAATTAAAAAAAGAAAAAATTCATCTAATAAGCACAGGAGCAAAAGGTGCAGAATTAGACATTATTTTGTGAGCTTATCTAATAAAAAATGAAATACTACATAAAATTCTATTGTTATTTGAAAGCATATATTAATACATTCCTAGTCATAATCAATACATTTTAAAAATTCAATTGACATTTTAAGTAATAAAAACATAAGGATCTATCTATACTGCACAATCTGCTAAAATATGTAGCACTTTGTCCCTTCCTTAACCCAAAGCAAAATGCAGCCCCAGGCCATTCTTCCCAGCTCTGGCTGCCCTAAGAGATGAGAGCGTCTTCAAAACAGGATTTCTGACATTCATATTAATAGTCCTAAAGTCCTTATAAATAGGTGGTTATTAGAAATATTTGGTTACTGACTGAATGACTGAATAAAAGAAAGAAGAATCACTTTGTCTCAGCATCTTTACGGAGGTAGTCTCTTCTCTCATCTCTTCAAGGACAGCAATAGTTCTGGTAGCTTTACTTTTCCCCATACAGCCTTTTCCCTCCAAATTCCTTTGCTCTGTGTGTTCATTTTAGACTCAGTCTTCCGGATGTTAAAGACTTTTCTCAGGTGTGTGGGAACCTTGGTTGTTCTGCTCACCATTAAGAGTGAGGAACTAGGGCGCCTGGGTGGCTCAGTTGGTTAAGCGACCGCCTTCGGCTCAGGTCATGATCCTGGAGTCCCGGGATCGAGTCCCGCATCGGGCCCCCTGCTCGGCAGGGAGTCTGCTTCTCCCTCTGACCCTCCCCCCTCTCATGTGCTCTCTCTCTCAGTCTCTCTCTCAAATAAATAAATAAAATCTTTAAAAAAAAAAAAATCTTAGATTAGGGGCGCCTGGGTGGCTCAGTTGGTTAAGCGACCGCCTTCGGCTCAGGTCATGATCCTGGAGTCCCGGGATCGAGTCCCGCATCGGGCTCCCTGCTCGGCGGGGAGTCTGCTTCTCCCCCTGACCCTCCCCTCTCTCCTGTGCTCTCTCTCATTCTCTCTCTCAAATAAATAAATAAAATCTTTAAAAAAAAAAAAAAAAAGAGTGAGGAACTAAAAAGCTGATAGAGGGGCGCCTGGGTGGCTCAGTCAGTTAAGACTCCAGCTCTTGGTTTTGCTCAGGTCATGATCTCAGGGTGGTGAGATGGAGCCCAGCATGGAGCTCTGGGCCCGGCGCAGAGTCTGCTTGGGATTCTCTGCCTCTCCTTCTCCCTCTGCCCCTCCCTCCACTCTCTGTCTCTCTCTCGGATAAATAAAATCTTAAAAATAAACAAATAAAATAAAAAGCTGATGGACATGAGCTCAGTAACCGCCCATCCCTGTTTGGAGTTCGCTGGAGTCTTAACATTTGCTTGGGATTTTGTCGATTTTAGCACCCAAGCTCCCCCATCCTCACACACCCCTCCGTCCCGGGCAAACAGGGATGGGCGGTTCCTGAGCTCATGTCCATCATGGTTTGAACTTGTCGACTGTGAGCTGCACTGGCGGGGACCTGGCGAGGGCACTTTGGGGAGAGCTCTTATGTCAATATTTTTAAGGGTTTCATCTTAGGCCAGTCAGAATCCCCCGAGAAGCAACTTCCAGGCTCCTACCTGGAGAGTGGAGATCTGCGTGCTGGGGCTCGGGGGTCTTGAGCACCCAGATCCAGACACCGTGCTGTTGTAGTGTCTTCACCCTCGGCTGTGCCGGGCAGCCCTCAGGCCCTCCCTCAGGCTCAGTGGGTCGGCCCCGCCGCCTTCCCTTTCACAGGATGCTGCCACGGCTCCCAACGGCACCACACCCTCCCGAGACGGCAGGAGGGGAGGACAAGACAGGCTTCCCGCTCCACGCCCCCTCCCCGCCGGTCTCAGCGAGGACAATCTTTCCCGGAAGTGCCCGGCACCCTTCTGCTTAGTCTCATTGGTCAGAGCTGGGTCACATGACCACGCCTGGCCCAATCATCGGCAGAAGCACCAAAGGACACAAAACTGGCTTTTACTGAGTGGGAGTCATTGGACCGTTCCGCCCTCTGTCTGGCGCCTTGATGCTAGGACGTCAGAGTTTGTTTGGCGGGAGCGGGGCGCGGGGGGACTTGAAGGTGGGTGGGCCACCAAAAATGGCTGCCTCTGAGTGTATATTAGCACAGCATTGTTTTAAGTCCCAGTTGGGGTCTAGGAAATACCGTTCTAAAGGCTTCTCATCCTTTTAAGTACTCTGGCGCATCTGAACTTTGACCTTCCCTGGAAGGGGGTCTGGTTGGGCCATTTGAGGGAAAGGTTCTCATAAAACTGAACATATCTAGGGGCGCCTGGGTGGCTCAGTCGTTAAGCGTCTGCCTTCGGCTCAGGTCCTGATCCCGGGGTCCTGGGATCGAGCCCCGCATCGGGCTCCCTGCTCCGCGGGGAGCCTGCTTCTCCCTCTCCCACTCCCCCTGCTTGTGTTCCCTCTCTGGCTGTCTCTCTCTCTGTCAAATAAAATCTTTAAAAACAAAAACTGAACATATCGAAGACCTGGTTGAGAGGTGCCTACCTGTATGCATGAGGAGGCTCCCGGGAAAGAATTCACCTAAAAAAAGAAGGGGTTGATTCCATCACTATTTCAGCTGCCATTTATTGAACACCTGCTGTGTGCCAGGTCAGGGCTAGCGGTGAATAGGGTGTAAATGTGAAGAGGAAGAAATTGTCACTCTGATCACCCTCCATCCCAGCGCCCATAGACTCATAGTATATCCAAGGGAGAACGACCCCTATTAAAATAAGGAAAATCTGCAAGAGCAGTTTCTACAAAAACATGCTGAGCACTTAGCAGCCCTGCATCAAAGCCTGAATGAGAAAACACAGATGGCACAAGGGGGGCAGAGGGGACTTATCTGTGCCATTTGTGGAGATCACTTGTGCTGTGAATGGACACCGTGGCCTGAGCACCCAACCAGCCCAGCCCACCTCCTGCCCGGAGAAGTCAGGAGAAGGCGGCATGCTTTGAAGAGTGGAGCGGGGACAGCAGGTGTAGGAGGCGCTGGCCCCACCAGCAGCTCTCAGCAGTCTGAGGGCAGGATGGAGGGAGGGCGCAGCTCTAAGGAGAGCCAGCACCATTAAAAAAGGAGCTAGGGAGACGATGGAGGAACAAACTGAGGGTTCTAGAGGGGAGGGGGGTGGGAGGATGGATTAGCCTGGTGATGGGTATTGAGGAGGGCACGTTCTGCATGGAGCACTGGGTGTTATGCACAAACAATGAATCATGGAACACTACATCTAAAACTAATGATGTAATGTATGGGGATTAACATAACAATAAAAAATTTAAAAAAAAAAAGGAGCTAGGAGGGTCTGGGTGTTTATAAGACAAGCGAGACATTCCTGGACTCTCCCAAGACCAGTCAGGAGGAACTTAAGGAGGGCTGGAGTTCCTTTAGATCTCCTGGGGGTGACTATAGGGTCAATATGACCTATTTTTATCCATGGGCTGGTATGTGGGGATGAAACATGGATTTCAGAATTTAGGGAGAATTAGAGGAGGGACCCATCAGTTGATGCTTACTCTGTGCTGATGTTGCTGTCTCTATAAATTTGCACAAGTTTATAATTATATTTGCTTGAGTTTATTATACACAAAAATAGAAAAAAAAAACAGTATAATGAGGACCCACATACCCATCACCCAGCTTCAAAAATGATCACTACATGCCCAATCTTGTTTCATCTATCCCACTTCCTCCTGATATTATTTTGAGGCAAATACCAGATTTTATCATTTTGTCCATAAATATTTCAGTATGCATCAAAAACATAAGGGCTGTTAAAAAAAAAAAAAAAAAAACATGACCACAGTACCACAATACCAAAACATGACCACATTAAAAAATGAATAAGTCCTTGGGGCGCCCGGGTGGCTCAGTCGTTAAGTGTCTACCTTCGGCTCAGGTCATGATCCCAGGGTCCTGGGATCGAGCCCCATATCGGGCTCCCTGCTCCGCGGGAAGCCTGCTTCTCCCTCTCCCACTCCCCCTGCTTGTGTTACCTCTTTTGCTGTGTTTCTGTCAAATAAATAAATAAAATCTTTCTTAAAAAAAAAATGAATAAGTCCTTAATATCATCGAATAGCCAGGTGGTGTTCAAATTTCCAACTGTCTCATAAATGTCATATGCTTTTTTACAGTTTGTTTCGGAATCCAAAGGAGGTCCCCATATTCTATAAATCTTAAACTCCTAGGGAATTCCGGATCGAAACAAAAACCAGAACAAAATTGGATTTCTCTATCCCTACTTTATATTTTATGAAATTGCAATAGTGGAGAGGGTATTTTTTTCTTATTAAAAAAAACTATCAAAAGCAATGTCGCTAGTAGTTATGAAAGCTATTTCCATGGGCCCCAGGTTTCTAGCCTCACAACTAGAAGCCCTTGGCAATTTGACTGCCCAGCAATGTTGGCAGGCGAGTCATTTTCCACTGGGGTCCGTCAGATTGTAGTGTTCCTCCTGTAAATGCCACCCACCCTCAAGATCTTCTCTGAGACCTAAGTCAGAGGGGTCAGGTGCCAAATCAGCCATCAGGGGGCTCCCAAGAATTCCGTGAACTTTGGGGTTGCCCAAAGATCCAACTTGGTGCATTCTAATAGAGATTGTAAACATGCCAGGCGGGGACTTGTCTCCTCACTCACAGCACATTCTGCCAGCAGAATAGACCAGGCCTCCGGGAGATGTGGCTCCCCGAGATGAGCTGGAAAAAGACAAGGTTAGCTGTCAACTGCCCTTTGAAGGATTTGAGGTTAGCAGCCCTCTCCCCCGCCCAGTGGTCCTCCTAACAGATCCACTAACTCCCCTAACAGGGACCACACTGTAAAATAGATAATGTTTGGAAGGCCTGTCACTATGCACTCATGAATTGTGCACGCCAGTGGGTCATACAATCCTGAGGCACCAGGGTAAAGTTACAAGTCTACAAGGGTATCATGATAACACAAAGACAATTACGATGTGAAAAACTACACACTGTGATTTTACCCAAAAAAGTGAACATTATAACCGAAATTGCATTAAATTTGCTAGGTTACGGTTTTCCTATGATCATCGGTATAGAAAATACATGGAGGACAAGACCCCAAAAATCCAGGTTGTTTTTTGTTTTTTTCTGAAAAGGTATATCAGAGGGTGATTATTGTGCTACTAGGTAGGCTATCACAGAACCCTTTTATATAGTAAACACTCAGAACTCTTTCACATATTAAGCACAGAGAAGTTGTACATCTTAAACATTCACAAAATCAGATTCACACCCCTTGCCGGGGGGACAACATCCATTACATAAACGAGGCCACGCCTGCTTTCGCTCATCACCCACAGAATGAACCCATCCATTCTTCCGGGTTGTACCAGAACATTCATGGCCCTGCAGGCATTGGTCCCAGCAGGTGCTGCTTCAGTTCCTGACATGGTTTCTCAATGCACAGCGTCAGGGCCAGCCCAGTGACGAAGGTCAGCAAACAGTGTCCAGAGAAAAGATAGAACTGGAGAGAAAAAGGGGCAGAATGGATGCAATCTCACTACCAGATTCCCGGCTGTACGAAATGCATCTGTAAGACAGAGTGCCCTGAACATTAAAACTAGAATAAATACAATCAAAGGAAGATATTATCCTGAAGCGCTCCCTCAAGTAAAACAAAGGGCAACAGGCTCCCCGAAACAACAACAGAACCCACTACTCCCCCAGCCAGTGGCTTCGTGGCTCCAGCAGAGTCACACCAGAGCCGAGAGCGGGGACTCACCATGTTGGTGTCAGTGAAGTGGATCAGCGTTTCTTGAAGCCCATTGTAGAGCATGATGAGGATGGGGTGCACCAAGTAGCAAGCGTAACTGATGCTGGCCAGGAGAGTCCAGAGCCGGCAAGAAAGCAGCCGGTCCACCAGACCTGGAGGGAACCGACAGCGAGGTTTATGGAGCCTCGGGCGCCTCTCTGGCTCCGCGGGGACATCCCCGTTCCCTCGGCGCCCCGCTCCTGAGTGTGTGAACCTCCTCTAAGAAGGTCTTTATTCTGGGCGCCTGGGTGGCTCAGTTGGTTAAGCGACTGCCTTCGGCTCAGGTCGTGATCCTGGAGTCCCGGGATCGAGTCCCGCATCGGGCTCCCTGCTCGGCAGGGAGCCCGCTTCTCCCTCCGACCCTCCCCCCTCTCATGTGCTCTCTCTCTATCTCATTCTCTCTCTCAAGTGAATAAATAAAATCTTTAAAAAAAAAAAAAGATGAGGGGCGCCTGGGTGGCTCAGTTGGTTAAGCAACTGCCTTCGGCTCAGGTCGTGATCCCGGAGTCCCGGGATCGAGTCCCGCATCGGGCTCCCTGCTCGGCGGGGAGTCTGCTTCTCCCTCTGACCCTCCCCACTCTCATGCTCTCTCTCTCTATCTCATTCTCTCTCTCAAATAAATAAATAAAATCTTAAAAAAAAAAAGAAGGTCTTTATTCTTCTCATTTTTAAGAGAATGTGCCCAAAACAAAGACAAAAGAAAACAAGACAAAAAACACTTCCCTTTGCGGGAATACGAAAAAAATAAGAGATGCTAATATAGAGTTTAGAGTCGCCCGGAACACAAGACATGCCACGTGTAAGACGAGGTGCGAAGTCCTTCCGCCAGCTTCGGTTCTGGCTCCAGATGCAGCACAGGATCCGCTGGGCCTTGGGACAAGGCAGTGGCATCGCCAGGCCCGGGACTTGTCCTCTGTTATGGAGGAGCTTGTGTTTGGCCAGCTTCTAGTCCCTTTCAGGACAAATATTCTGTAACTCGCTATAACTTCTAGAACTGTGCTGTCCCACATGGTAGCCACTACCTACTTCGGGCTGTTTAATTTAAATTCATTCAAATGAAGTGCAATGAGACATCCTTCTCTGCACAGGACTTCCTGCTCTCTGTAGTGGGTTAAAGAGTGGTCTCCCAAAAGCTATGTCCACCTGGAACCTTGGTCTACTTGGAGTGAGGGTCTTTGCAGATGAAATGAAGGTAAGGAACTCGAGATGAGATTATCCTGGATTAGAGTGGACCTCAAATCCAAAAATCAGTGTCCTTATAAGAGACAGAAAAGGAGACACAAACACACAAAGGAGAGGAACTGGGTGAAGGCCATGTGAAGACAGAGGCAGAGAGTGGAGTGAGGCACACACGGGCCAGAGAATTCGGGGCTTGCTGGCAGCCATGGGGGTGGGGGGTGGGGATGGAGAGAGCACGGAACAGATCCCCACAGGGCTTCTGGTAGGACCTTGCCAACACCTTGATTTGGGGTTTCTAGTCTCCAGAACTATGAGAGAATCAATTTCTGTTGTTTTAAGCCAAGAAAAGAAAGAAAGAAAGAAAGAAAGAAAGAAAGAAAGAAAGAAAGAAAGAAAGAAAGAAAGAAAGAAAGAAAGAAAGAAAAAGAAAGAAAGAGGGCGCCTGGGTGGCTCAGATGGTTAAGCATCTGCCTTCGGCTCGGGTCATGATCCCAGGGTGCTGGGATCGAGTCCCGCATCGGGCTCCCTCCTCAGCAGGGAGCTTGCTTCTCCCTCTCCCGCTCCCCCTGCTTGTGATTTCTCTCTCTGTCAAATAAATAAATAAAATCTTCAAAAAAAAGGGGGGGGGCACCTGGGTGGCTCAGTTGGTTAAGCGACTGCCTTCGGCTCAGGTCATGATCCTGGAGTCCCGGGATCGAGTCCCATATCGGGCTCCCTGCTCAGCAGGGAGTCTGCTTCTCCATCTGACCCTCCCCCCTCTCGTGTGCTCTCTCTCTCTCAAATGAATAAATACAACCTTTAAAAAAGAAAATAAATAATAAAAAAAAGAAAGAAAGAGGGAAAGTGAGAGAGAGAGAAAAGAAAAGAAAACAGAAAAGAAAAAGAAAAAACTTCTGTCTCTCCTTTCCATGAACCTCATCTCGAGTTGTTTCAGTTGCTCAGGACAAAATCTTTGGTGCATCCCAGATTCTGTTCTTCCTCCCATATCCCACAGAGCGCTGCCAATCTACCCTTAAAACTACCTATCTCATATTGAACCCTTTCTCCCCATCTCCTCCGCAAACCCCCTCATCGAATCCACCATGGATTCCTCCTCCATGGACCACTACAGTGGCTTCCTAAGGGATCTGTTGGTCTCTCTGCTCTCCTTCTTGCTGTCCTACAGTCTCCATGCAACATCTAAAGTAATCTTTTAAATCACAGGTCAGATGATGTTACATGACGTTCAAAATAAAATCCGAATTTTTCCCCATGGCCGTGAAGACCCTGCATGACCTGACTACCACTTTCCTCAGTCGGTAGAATGCGTGACTCTTGATCTTGGTGTTGTGAGTTCGAGCCCCAGGTTGGGTGTGGAGATTACTTAAAAATAAAATCTTAAAAAAAGATAATAGAGTGACCATAAAACTATAAAACCAATAATATCTGAATTAACAACATTAAGTCAATGTGATTAGTAGTTGGCTGGAGCCAAATTGTAGCTCGCAACATGAACAGGATATTGTTTGCTTTAGGAATGTTCTTTTGTGTTTGGTTTACCTGTGCTCTTTGCTGACTTAATTTTTCTACAACTAGACATTTCTAATCTGGAGAAAATCCCTTTCTTTCCATTTAAGCCCCTTCTGCTTGACTTTTCCACACATTGACAGACGGACTCAGTAGAGACAGTTTCCCCGCTTATCAAAGGGCTGAGGGGATCTTGGGAATTACTCAGTCTATATAGCCTTAGGTAAGGAAACTGAGGCCCAGGGTGAGCGCGACCAGAACTTTTGTCTCCAGCACTGGTATTTTGTTCTCACTGCGTGACCCTGTCTTCCTCCTCCAGCTTCGAAACTAGCTTCATTGGAAAGGCTGCAGATTTTTCTTTCAGAACCTGCATTTGCACATAAACCAGGGTAAAAATCTAAAACAGAATATGCGGGCAGTTCTCCCCCAGGACATAAACAAGTTGCTGTTTTTGAGTCAATTATCAGTCATTCACCAACCACTCCAGCAAATAAAAAAGCCCCTCTGTGTGCGCCATGTTTTCACGTTTGTCGCCTTTAAAGGGACACAGCATGAGCCCATGAGCAACAGCCTGTGCCTCATCATACCTCCGTAGCCTTCCCGACATGCCAGCATGACCCAGCCCACGGCCGCCGCCCACAGGGTCCGGTGGAGGGCCTGGTACAGAACAGCGGCCGGCGAGGAGGTGGCAGGGGCGTCATCCACCACGTACGCCAGGGCGACCACTATGAACAGGGTAGACAGGGAGCAAATCCACCCCAGCATGGCCTGCACCTACGGGGAGAGGAGCGACGTGGGTCAAGCCCATTGAGGACATGGCATATTTACTTCCTTTTGCACTAATTCAGTTTTTTCTCTTTTTAGTGTCACTTCAGGTATCTATGTGTAAACCTCCATCAGTGCCCAACTTGGACTAAAAGAGAAGGTTCAGACTAGTGGTTATGAGGGGCTAGGGTTGGGGTGGGGCAGGGGAGGGTGGGGGGCGTGACCGCAAAGAGTTAGCACAAGGGAGATCATCGTGGTGATGCCTTGCTTGTGGTAGTGGTTACACCACTCTCCATGTGCTAAAATGGCCCCAAACCATATACACACACAACTGAGTGCCCATAAAACTGGTGACTCCAAGCCCTATGGATCCTGCTGATGTCAATTTCTTGGTTGCATGTTACCAGTGAAAGAAGCTGGGTCAATGGTACATAAGACCTTCTGTACTATTTTTGCAACTTGCTGCGAATCTCAAATAACTATTAAATGGAAGTTAGAAGGGAAAAAAGAAAAGATAATGTTCTGACCCACCTCTGACCTCCCATTCTGTTCCTTAACCTAATAAGGCTCCTGCATTGGTTCCGTGCCCACCAGCAATGCAAGGGCTTTTGGCTCAGGTCTGTCCCTGGGCTGCACCCTAGTCACTGGGCTCATAAGATGGCAGCAGGAATGGGAGAACGGAGAACTTTCCAGCTCAGAGAAGAGCCCCATGGGTTAAATTCTATTATTGGGTTCAGTTCAAGATCTTAGATCTTATGTCACCTCACACCTGTCTTCTAAGAATCTCTCTTGCTTCTCTGTTCCAGTTCCCAAGTTGCTATGATGAATGAACTAGCATCTTGTCAGTCTACTGTCTAGTCTCTAAAGAGAAGCTCTCCCCTCCTTGGCCTCAGATCCCTGTGCTAGGCTCTGGCTACATGGAAGTAAAGGCATTTCCTTGGGGGGGTCTCCACAAGCCCCCTCTTTTAGGCTAGGATCCCCTTCACTCTTTCACTGATAATGCACCCTACCTCGTCTCATTCCTAGCATGGGGCATTGGCCCCAGCTGCCTCAAGCTTGGACTCTGTGTTCTTATTTTCTGGCCTCTAGAGGTTTAATTTTGGTCTACCCATCCCTTCTACCTTGTTTCTCCAGCTCAGCTTGACCTGTGTTCTGGCTTCATATTCCCTGGTCCTGACTCAACCTCTGGAGTGTTCGCAAATGCTCTGTCATCGTCTTAGGTTTCCCCTCTGCTCCCTGGGCACTCTGGAACCTGGATGACATAATGGCACTCTGCTGTAATCTACAACTGAATTGTGCATTTTTAGGGGAAACTCCAACCTACAGGAAAAGTCATGTAGCCCTTGTACATCCATTCTGTCTAGTGAAGCCCTATCCCCTCCTGTTGCTACCGTGAGCAACACAAGATTTTCCAAAGACAAGGGCCTCTTCTCCGAAGCATCTAGGTGAGGTACCCACAAGACCTAGGCAAACAAAGGTAGGGTTTAGCAGAGAAGAAATGGGGCTGTCACTGTACCCTAATAGTGCAAAGGAATTCTTGGCCCTTCGTCCATTGAAAAGCACATTATCTTTCATTCATTCATCTATTAAGTGCCTTCAGTGATTTCAGAACCAGATGTTGGGGATTCAGAGATAAGTAAGACATAGTCTACCCTCAAGGTCTTATGGGTCAATGAAAGCCATATGAAGAGCTTTTGCACAGTTCAAGGGCAACACCAAGGTAGTGTTTTAAATAGATTGCCCCAAGGGTGGATTTGAGATGGACAAGACAAGAAGTCCAGGCAAGAGATGAGAAGAGCTTCAGTGAGGTTAGTTGGACAGGCTAAGAGGACAGCAAAAGAAACAATAGGGGGGCTTGGTGAAGGATTGCCTGGGAGGAGGGGTCAATGAGGAGGATGTATCAAAGATGAACACAACCTTCCGGCTTGAGTAAAGAGGTTGGATGGCGAACCAGAATGATTAACCACAAAGGAGCCAGGGAAGCAATTTTACCTGGAAGACAAAGTGACAGCTTCTTTCCCCTTAGACACCTTGTGTCTTGATGCCCAGATGGAGCCATTGAATCTGACCAAGAATCCTGTCTATAGAAACCAAGGAGCATGTGCTATTAAAAAGTAACTATGCCCTTCCAGAAGAGGGCCTTGCCGGTGCAAAAACTCACTGGGTATGTTTTTCCCATATCAGTGAGTTCTCTGGGTTTGTACCGAGACTCCAATGGATGGAACACCACTGTGTTTCAGTTCTGGAGCTTTCTTAAAGGCACTCAGTGAGGAAAGCAGAGAATCAGGCTCTGGCAAGAAAATAAGGTCTCTCTTATTCTCTAGCACCAAGAAACATTGCTAACACACCACAGCCCAATAAAGTACTGAGCAGTCTGATTCCTGCCCATGGCTTTTGACGAGCCTGGCCAAATGGGCCACTCCAGTCCCAAGCAGACCCAGCCCTTACAGTGAGGTATGGGGCAAGCTTACCTTGGTTTTAAGAATGTTTGCCTGGTGGTTTTGGTGCATGAAAATGCTCAGAAAGAGGCCCACGAGGAATGGCCCGTATCTGCAGTAGGGCTTAGTGTAATACTCCGAGAAATACAACACAGTCACATTTTCACTGAAAAACACAAGAACATGGGCGCCTGGGTGGCTCAGTTGGTTAAGCAACTGCCTTCGGCTCAGGTCATGATCCTGAAGTCCCGGGATCGAGTCCCGCATCGGGCTCCCTGCTCAGCGGGGGGTCTGCTTCTCCCTCTGACCCTCTTCCCTCTCGTGCTCTCTGTCTCTCATTCTCTCTCTCAAATAAATAAATAAAATCTTAAAAAACAAAACAAAACACAAGAACAGAAGGCAAAAGGGTCTGTTTGATTTGGACCTGAAAAAAGGAATTTCTCAGATGTCCATTGGTGCAATCATCAAGTCTGAAAGAAAATGTGGGGTACATTTGTTCATTTCCTCACTAATGATCCACAAACAGTAACGCCTTAGACCAAGCTGGCTTGCTAAAATTCCACATTCCCTTGGGCCCCTCCACCCTGGATCCTGAGGAAATATGACGACCGTGTTCCTTTTAAATAGTTGTTTCTGGTAGCTGGTACATCAGGATAGTTCTAAAAATCTGGTTCTCAGGAGTGAACCTCGTCGTGGAAGCTCTTACAGAATTCCGTTGCCTGGGCCATGTCCCTGGAGATTGTGATTCAGGGGGTCTAAGATGGTGCTTGCTGGAAGCATCCTTGGATTTAAAAGCTCCCCAGGTGAGTCTCATGTGCTTCCAGAATTGAGAACCGCTGGGCTAGACGGGAATGAGCTTCTTCCTCAGTCACCTGGCAGTGCCCACAGAAAACGAGGCCATGGCGGGAAGGGCATGGTGCTCCCATGATCAAAAAACCTGAGGTGTCTTCATTCATTCGTGCATGCATTCATTCCTTCATTCCCCTCACAAATACATAGTAAGCACTGTACCAGACATGGCTCAGGGCTATTTTACATCGGGAGGTCAGCGAAGGCCGCTCTGAGAAATGACATTTGTACTGACACCTGTAGGAAAGCCCCGCCAAGATCTAGATTCTAAAGGAAAAGCATTCTAGTGTGAGGGAACAGCAAGTGCAAAGGCCTGAGGAGGGAGCATGCTGGGTGCGTGGAGGTAAGAAGGCCAGTGTGGCTGGTCCAGAGTCAGCACATAGGCGAGTGATAGATGAGGTCAGACAGGGATTTTACTCTGAGAGCACTGGGCAGCCGCGGGAGGAATTTGAGAAGGTGACTGACAGGATCTGATTGCCATTTCTATCTATCACTCTGCCTGCTGCGCTGGGAAGAGATTAGCAGGAAATCGGACCACTTCTCCGCGTGTGATACACAGGGTGGTTATAAGGAAGAATCGTTATCTATACCTCACTGGGGAGGCCAAAGAGCATAGTGGGTAAGATCCTAGCTTCCACTCACACCTGTGCCACTTACCGGCCCTGTGACTTTCAAGGGATAACCCCAACTTCCTTAAATTTCCGTCTCTCCAGCCAATAAGAGCTTCCAAGCACAAGTTCGCCACTGAAGGAGAAACCCAATACGGCCACATGGGGGCGCTCCTCTCCTCCAAGAAGCATTTCAACGGGCAGCCGTGTGTGTTCCCCGAACTTTCGGACAACTACCCGCCGCCTCCCCCCCCCCCCCACCCCGCCCCTGTGCAAGTTGAAAGGTTCGGAAGTTTGGAAACAAAAACGCAATCAATATTCCCATCCAGGCTGAACGTTTCCCACCCAGTTTTTCCACGAGCCAGTGCACACAGCGCCGAGAGGCCGGCCCTCATTGAGCAGCCTCCCTGGGAGGTCCTGGCCCTTCGGAGGGCAGGGAAGCCGAGAGCAGCTGGCTGGGAACTGCGGGTTACCTTGCTTCCGACGGAGCTGCGACCGGAAGGCTATGAGCCAGTGTGAGCAGAGCTGAGGCGGTGAAAGACGCCAAGAACAGCATGGCCCCGAGGAGGACAAGGACATGTTTACTTCTGCAAAGAGAGGGCATGGACAGAAGCGCTCTTCAGTTTCCGTCACCGCAAAATCTGTGGCCACGAAAGACTTGAAAGCTTGGCAATCGGAGGCACTTCCTGCTAGGGCTGCCATTGAGAGAGGCTGCTGTGGGGGCAGCCGTGGCAGAGTGGGCTGGCGTTAGAGAACGGGGTTAGCCTTTAGACTTGACCGTTTGCTGGCCGTGCGACCCTCGGCAGGACCTTGAACTTGAATTTCCTCATCTTCACCCTGAAATTTACCATGCAGCTCAACATGAGACCATGCTTGGGAATGTCCCTTGCGACCCACAAGGCACTATATGGATATAAGTGGTGGTTGATTTAGGAGAGAAATGACTGTCAGGCCCGGGGGGGGGTGCAGGGAGGGGAACAGCATAAGGGGGGGGCAGGGATTCTTCCCCCACCCAGATGCAATCTGAGACAAATATCTGGGTGCTGGGAGCTGATATGGGGTTAGGAATGAGGGATGGGGTGTGGAACAGGGAAGCAGGGAAAGCTAATACAAGGATGCACTATGAAAGTGACTAACGCTCCATTCTTCCAGAATGTTCTATGGATCCTTATGAAATGCACCTGAAAGCTGTCTTGGGCTATGAAAGAAAGAAGCCTTTTCTAGTGTCTTCTATCCCCCATGGGTCAAGGGTGGCCCCACAAATGTCAATGCCGTCACACTTAGGGACTACGCATGTTTAAGGCCAAGAGAAGTCCTGAAGGAGTCCCAGCTGTAGTATGTAGGAGGTTCTGGGGCAGGGAATGAGATTTAGAGACACAGGCTCAGAGCAAGGCAATGTCTGGTTGCACCTACTCAGAATTGTGAGGGCTGGGACCAAGACGATCTGCAGTGGTAGAGAAGAAATGTCAAACACAGGTGCAAGACTGTCCAGGCACAACCCTGTCTGGGTGATGCCTCTGACCAGCCCATTCCACTGCTTGAAGTTGCCATGGTTCTTCATGCAGAAGGGATAAGGTACCATTTGTATATCATGAGCGATGCAGGGAGCAAACGATTTTAATCCAGAGTGCCAATTCTAGTTTAGTGTTAATGCTTGGAATGGAGAAGGGTTAGTTAGCTCAGTGGTGCTATGATTGATTAGTAATGTCTGCTGTGAGCGTGGGCTGGGAAGTTATGACAACGATGCTGTCTATTTACTGTGCCATTTGCCAGACCATCTAGTTCTGCCCTCCTTGAATTACTAGCATTCTATATGAGTGTGTTCTCTAAAGAAAAACCTTACCTTTTTTACCTCGCACCATTTAGAAGCTAAGTCTAGTTGCATGGCGGCAAGCTTGGATAGGGCTGGTTTTTAGCTGAGGGATTGAAATCTGTCTTCCACGACAGCCTCTAGGAAAGATGCTGACATTGGGGACAGGGCTCCTAAGTCACAAGGACATTCAAGTAAGTCCCCAGTAGGTCTAGAGTTGGGGAGTACTAAGAATTCATTGTCTTAGGCGGGTGGTAAGTCATCCAGTCAGTCCATCCAATAAAAACCCACATCCACCCAAGTAAATATTTGTTTAACTCCCTGGGGGACTTGAGCCCAATCTGTGGACCTCCTCTCAGGAGTCAGACAAGTCTCCCCTGGCTAACCACCACTATAATAAAACGAATAAAGTGTCCTGATATAGACTGTTATGGGCTGGATTGTGTCCCCTCAAATTCCAACTTCCAGCACCTCAGAATGTGACTCTATTTGGAGATAAGGTCTTTAAATTGAAAATTAAGGTGAAATGAGGTCATTGGGATGGGTCCTCAGTCAATCTGACCGGTGCCTTTCTGAGAAGAGGAGGTTAAGACTCGGACAACCACAGGGAGAAGATCATGTGAAGACATGGGGAGAGGCTTCAGAAGAAACCAACCCTGCTGACACCATGATCTTAGACTTCTAATCCCCAGAGCCATGAGGAAATAAATTTCTGTTTAAGCCACCCAGTGTATGGTTTTGTCAGGGCAGCCGCAGCAAGCGAATACGCATAGGGGCCAAAACAGACACATGCCCCGCCTTACCTCCTGTTAGTCCTTTGTCCTCCAGAGCCCTGAGCCGCTAATCAGGGCCATTGACCACGGCACAAATGGCCCAGTGCCAAAGGCTTCCCTCTGCCAACTCAGGTTAGTGGCTATATTTTCTGGCTTGTTGAGGGGACTACTCCTGGGCCAGCGGGATTGAGAAAGTCCCAGAGCTTCAAGCACTGACCACCATCCCCATTCTCTCAAGAGGGATGGTCCCTCAAAAAGGTCCATTCAGGGGCCATAGCCCAAGAGGAGGAAGGAATAGCAGAATGGCTGAGTGTCTTCCTTGCAAGCCTGTCAGCCCCCAGCATCCTGGCCAGGATTCCCTACAGGATTTCTCTTGCTCTTTCTTCACTAAATACTTGGACACATCCTGCTACAAATGCCACCCTGAGGAAGCCTGTAGAGGCTTGCCCTTTCTCCTCTGCCAGGGCTGCCGGGCCTGCTGAGGCCTCACACCTGATCCACCTGGTCCTGCAGGCACTTGCCAAGGATTCCGGAGCCCTTCGAGCAGCCACAGTCCAGCACAGAGCCAAGGCCTGTGACAGCACCAGAGAACAGAGAACGGGTCAGCCCGGCTCTGCTGGGCCCAGCAGCTCCCCCTCCCCTGAGGGAGCTCTCAGGGTTTGACTGCCTTGTGGGAGGGAGAGTCCACCCCAGGGGAGGCCCTGTGGGCCTGAGCAGGTCTCAGCTGCTGCTCAGGGAGCCCCTCCCCTAGCAGCAGGAGAGATCAGTGACCCAGGAGTGCTCGGGGAATCAGCCCACCCTTTCTAAGGGGCCGGGGAGGGGGTGGGGGGTGGAGACTTGGTCAGCATCCCAAAGCCACCTTTACCTCCTCTCCACCTTTCTTGCCTGATCCATGGTAGGGTGAGGGGAGGAGGTCCCACTAATTCTTAATTCCCACCACCCTCAGTGATTTCATCCTGGGAGATGTGAGTATCAATTAAGCAGGCATCGAGTGGTAGGTCTTTCTACCAGAGGATGTTCAGAGTTAATTTTTTAAATCTCCATTTCCCAAACAAATAGCAATGTGATTATTAGATCTCATTTCCATCTTATTACCAGATTTTATTTCAATCTCATATGCTTGTATCAGTTCTGTTATGCTATCAAAAATTGTTGCACTCCCCACACCTCAACCCCCACTCTGAGAAAATAGGCCATTCGATTCAGATGCTTTTGTTTCATGGGTGGGGGAGCACTTGGACCTCCCTGCTCTCCCCACAGCAATCATACAGAGACAGACACACACACACACCCCCCTCAGCATCGGGCATTTGTTCATGTCTCCACACCCTCTCACCCACCTCAGAGGAGTGGAACTAAGAAGGGGTGAAACATCAAGTGTGGAGGAAGGGGTGAGGCTAAGCAAGAGGACCTCAGACCCTTCAACGTGGGAGGCCTTTGTTAACATCTGCTCCACACCAATACCTTCTGGAAAGGGTATTTAGAGAAGCCAAAGAAGGGGACTGATTGCCCAGATAAGGGGACCCTCTGTGGAATAGGGATGGAGCAGAGAAGATAGGGAGATGGCCACCCCTAAATGGGTTTAGGGGAGGAACAGACGCTCACCATGGCTTATCCAGCCACCCTTCCCCCAGTCCCTGCGAGACTGGGAGGGCAAGGGGCCGCCCCTGCTTGGGGACAGCAGCTGGGGACAATGACGATGACATGGCATCTCAAATAACAGGTAGCTGAGTGACATGTGGTCGCACATTACTGACAGGCAAGCTCTGTGCTGGTTCCCATGTGTATGATCTTGCTTTGTCCTCCAACGCTGAGGTGAGGCACTACCAGCTCATTTTATAGAGACAAAAATTGAAGATGAGAGTCTAGCAACTTACCCTAGGTCCCCTAGCTAGTGACTTACCAGTCATGATTGGAACCCATGTCTTTTGACCAAACTCACGATCCCAGCAAACTGCCTTTGTGCTTAGTGAAATCCATGGAACATTTTTTTTTTTAATGATTAGTAAAACTAACAAACAAACACCTCTTTGCATTTAAAGTTAGAAAGCAGGGTGTATTTAAGATATGTGAAAAAGCAGATTTTCCTTTTTTCTTTTTAGGTGCTGAATTCTTAATTAAGTTAAAATTAGGATTCTCTCTCTCTCTCTCTAAAATAAATAACTCTTGGGGCGCCTGGGTGGCTCAGTCTTTAAGCGTCTGCCTTCGGCTCAGGTCGTGATCCCAGGGTCCTGGGATCGAGCCCCGCATCGGGCTCCCTGCTTAGCCGGGAGCCTGCTTCTCCTTCTCCCTCTGCTGCTCCCCCTGCTTGTGCTCTCTCTGTCTCTCTCAATCTGTCAAATGATAAATAAATAAACTCTTAAATAAATAAATAAATCTTAAAAAAATTAGAATGCATTTCCCTTGCCCAGGATGCATGAATGTTCACATGTAGCTGGAATGGGCAACATCCTGGGTCAGCCTGTGGTTTAAAGGTCTGTCCTACAGAGAGCATTAACAGGAAACCATGATGCAGAGCTGGTCAACACATATTTGGAACTCAGCTGCACCCCTAGTAATTGAAGACTTGCAAGTTAGATGTGAAAAATGAATGTTTTCTTACATATCAAAATAACAAGGTTTGTATTTTGTTTTGTTTTATTATTATTTTTTTAAATGTTTTATTTATTCATGAGAGTCAGAGAGAGAGAGGCAGAGGCAGAGGGAGAAGCAGGCTCCCCGCCTAGCAGTGAGCCCGATGCAGGACTCGATCCCAGGACCCTGGGATCATGACCTGAGCCGAAGGCAGACGGTTAACCATCTGAGCCACCCAGGCACCCCTGTTTTGTTTTATTATTAACATTCCATGTTGGCAACAGTGCAATTAGATGGCCAGAGGACTGAATATTGATAGACCTTTAAGGAAAGCAATTTGTCATTATGTTTCAAGAGCCTAGAACACATTCATGCTCTCTGACCTAGTAATTCCCCTTTAAGATATGCATTCTAAAGAAATATCAGAGTTGGAGAAAAATGGTTACCATGAAAATATTGATCAGACTGTTATTTATAAAAGCATAAAATCAGAAATAATCCAAGTGTTTAACAATAGGGGAAGGTATAAGTAAACTAGAGTTCATTCATGGAATGGAATATGATGCACACATTAAAATTATATTTACTCAGAAGTAAAATAATATAAGAAATTGCTTATGTCATAAAACTATTAGAAGAAAGATACTAATGTGTAGATACAGAATCCTTTCATATACAAAAAGCTATGCAGAAAAAAAGATTGGAAAAATAAACACGAAGATATTAACATGGAATTCACTTCTCCTTGAGCGAGGGATGGGTTGAGGGTGATGGTTTTCCCCTCTCTTCACCCTATTACCTTCCAATGTTTCTTAAATAGAACGTGTATTTTAACAAAAAAAGAAACATCTTTTAAAATATGGCATGGAGGGGCGCCTGGGTGGCTCAGTCAGTTAAGCGTCTGGTTTCAACTCAGGTCATGATCCCAGGGTCCCGGGATCGAGTCCCACATCAGGCTCCCTGCTCAGCGGGGAGTCTACTTCTCCCTCTCCCTCTGCCTGCCACTCCCCCTGCTTGTGCTCTCTCTCTCTCTCTCTTAAATAAATAAATAAAATCTTTAAAAAATTATATAAAAAAATAAAATATGGCATGGATAATCCCCAAGCTATAAGTCTCCTCATGAATTATTGAGGCCTTAAGCTTTTCTAGAACTAACAAAAATTAAGGTAATAAATATCCGATGTGGGGAACAGGTACACTGATGCATTGCTTGGGGCACTGTAAATTACCTCCCTCTTTCTGGAGAATAATCACACACTATGTAACAAGCACCCCCAAATTGTGCCTACCCTCTGACCTAGTAATTCCACCTTGAAATAGGGCCCCACGGAAATGAAGAAGGGTGGAAATGTAGTACGTTCAAAGACAGTCATCGAGGGGTCATTTGGAGTCATGACAAACTGGACCTAACCTAGATGGCCAACCACAGAAATGGTTTATTACTCTGAAAACTGACAAGTATGCAGATCGTGTCACTATGTGGCAATGTTTACAAAGACCGTTAAGTGGAAAAAGCTGAGACAGGATATTAATACACACAGATTGCAACTCTGCAAAAACACAGTGGGATTCGAGTAGGACAAAGATCAGAGGAGGATGCGGAGGAAGGTAAACAGTGGAGGATGTGGTGTCCAGACTGTTCTGAAAAGTGTGTTTCCTAAACTGTAAAGGCTGCTGTGCCCAAAACTGTAGGACTCGCTGAGAGTTCCGTGGGAGACACCCCACGGGGAGACCACACCTGTCCCAGGGAAACTCACTTTCCGTGGATGAGGACGATCGCCGGCGTGGTGAGATGGAACTGAAAGTCGTTGGCGAGGTACCACGTCCAGCCATTACACTGAAACGAGAGGAGCAGAGGTGACCCCTTTCCCTCGCTCATGGGGCACCCCACATTGTCTCACCTTTCTGGAGCTGGAGGAGGAATTCACTGGGCAGCTGCGGGGGGGAGGGGGGGAGGGGGGCAGGTGGTGGATTTCCATGGGAAGAGAAAGGAATTCTGAGTTCCAGGTATTTCAGGTACCCCATCTCATTTAATCCGGGAACAAGCCTGGGTGGTGGGGATTATTATTGCCAGCTTACAAAATGGAAATGCGGGCAAGTGTTCTCGCTTGTTGAAAAAAAGCAGTAAGAGCTAAGCTCCCAGCACCCTCGTGGGAGCTCAATGCCATCCCATGACCCAGATGTAAGGAACAACCATGGTTTTGGTGCCGTCAGAGTCCATGTTGTGCCCTCTTCCCTGCCTTGCCGGCCCTCCCAGCCTCCAGGGGAGGAGTGTGCTCACTTAGCATGGAGGCCTGTCTCCTGACGAGCTTTTCTGGGAAGGCCCAGAGTTCCCACGAGAGCCTGACAGGCGGTCCTCTGGCCCAAGCCACCTCGCTGCAGAGGCTGTCCGCCTTTGTGTGGAGGGAGGCAGTTACCTGTATTTCTTCTTCAATGTGAGGAGATTCCCGGGGCAATTCTCTCCAGGGCTTCAGAGATAAAAGGCTCCTTGTTCCCTCCAATCCCCCACCAGACTTATCCAGGGCAAGTGACATCTTTCCTTGTCCCCGCTAGAAAGAAGTTCCCAGGATGGGCAAATCTGTGAGGACTCAAGGCCTGACAGGTCTCACACTTCTGCTTTCAGGGACCTGAGGCGGGCTTTGCCTCCAGGAGGGGCTGGCTCGTGTCCTTGTCCCCGCTGCCCACGCACGGCCCCAGCCAGTCTGCATCTGGGCGAACGGGCCAGCCTGTCCTCCATGGGCCCTGTCCCAGACATGGGCCCCTCTGAAGGCGGTTAGGCTGGGACGGACACCCTGTCCGAGCTGCCAGGCACTGGCTGACGGAGGGCAGCCACCCCGTTGGTAAGTAGTTACGCACAGAGATGAGTCACGCTCTAGCGATTCTCTTGTCAGCCTTGCTTTCCAGGCATGTGCAAACGTCAGTGACATGATTTAATTACAGCAATTTCACTTGCGTTTACTCCAACGTCATTATGAGGAGAGGAGGGCTTTGGGGAAGCCCCCACCCACATATACAGAGGCTGTGGCTTGAAATGGAAAAGAATTCATTACGGCGAAGGTGCAGTGCAGTGTTCCATCCCAATTACAGGGGAAGAACGTGTCCTTTCTCCATGGGGTGACACGGGCTGGAACAGGAACCCGACGGGGCAAGGCCGGCTGCATCCGGGACAGGCACCTCGATGGTCGGTGGGCAATGCCCACTACTCCCCCCCTCCGCCTGTCACAGCAACCCTCCCTGCCAGGACTGGTTTGGTAACGCTCACCCATCCTAAGGGGCTAGGCTCCCTGCCCGCAGCCCACCTTACTATGGCTTCGCTGTTACTCCACAGAATATGCCAGAAGAAAGGGCACTGGACTCGGGTTGGCCCTTGGAAAGTTCACCAAACCACGTGAAGGGAGACCCAGCGTTTGCCCCTGCCCGCCTGCCTGTCGCTAGCCCCTAACAGGGGACTCACCGCGTTTCGGACCGACAGGAAATTATTGACCAACAGCAGATTTGTCCACCACGCCTGCCGGCAGTTATCCAGGTGGAACTTGGGCACGTCCCAGACAGGTCCCCAGGGAACAAGAGAGAACAAGCCAACCAACAGGCACACGGAATACAGGTGGAGAGGCTGCAGCCTGGCAGGGAGAGCCGGGGGAGAGAAGGTCACTCTCCACAGGGGTTCCGTTCGGTCCCCTGGTCCCCTGGGCGAGTGAGCGAGAGATGCTGCAAACCAGATTGTACCGGGTGGGCGACCAGCTCCCGGCCACACCGCAAACACTCCCACATTCCTGGGTCAAACATCATGAGCCCCCAGCCCTGAGCCAGCTCCAGTGCTGTGGATGCAAAAATACTATTAGTCATTGAGCATGTTGGCCGCTGTGCTAGGAGCTTCTCAGATACTTCTAACCCTCGGAACACTCCTTCAGGGAAATACTACGTGCATTTTACTGGTGGGGAAATGAGAGCTCTAAGTGTGGGCGATTCGTCCGAGGTGGCCCAGCCATTACCGCGGTGCTGAGATCAGACATCGGTTCCTGCTCTTTATTTCTCCCTCCCTCCCTTCATACCCTACCTCGTCCCGAGCAGGACCTGAAGTAGCTACAAAGATGATGGGAAAAAAGGCACAGGTGTCCTTTAGAAACAGAACTGGAGCCACATCTGCCACCTAGGGTACACATTCTAGCCGCCGTTTGTCACCCTGGGAGCGAGTCCCGCACGGGGCTCCCTGCTCGGCGGGAAGCCTGCTTCTCCCTCTGCCTGCCGCTCCCCCTGCTTGTGCTCGCTCTCTGTCTGTCCAACAAATAAATAAAATCGTAAAAAAAAAAAAAGAAAGAAACAGCTACAGTGAATTTTAATACTGTACCTTATAGAGCTCAATGTATCCAAAATATTATTTCATAATCTTTTTTTTTTTTAAAGATTTTATTTATTTATTTGACAGAGAGAGACACAGCGAGAGAGGGAACACAAGCAGGGGGAGTGGGAGAGGGAGAAGGAGGCTCCCCGCAGAGCAGGGAGCCCGATGCGGGACTCGATCCCAGGACCCTGGGATCATGACCTGAGCTGAAGGCAGTCGCTTAACCAACTGAGCCACCCAGGCGCCCCCAAAATATTATTTCAATAGGTAATCAATCTCAAAAGTTAGTGAGCTGATTAACATCCTTTCTTCTTTGACTACATCTTTCGAATCCGGTGTGTACATTTACTACTCGCCCACATGTCCGAGGGCCACCTGTCGGGTGGCTACCTATGGGACCTCACTGGCCTCGAGTTTAGAAGTGAGGTTGTAGCGGGGAGAGGGACACGGTCCTGGCATGGATTCTGGGTGAGCTAGGACCCCAGCCATCTTTTAAAAGAACACATTTAGAAATTCAGAGCAGAGCACATGGCCCAGCAGTGTCTCCGAACATTTCAGTGGGGGCACCAGGGTGCGGGGTGGGCTGTGACAGATGGGAAGGGTGGGACTCCGGGGTGGGCGGGGGCAGCACCCAGCCTCTGGTCTGCACGGGCCCCGGGCCTGTTGGCCTCCCGTCCTCCCCACGATGATAGCATCCCTCCTAGCATGTGTCCGGTAGGCTGGAGGGCTGTGGGCATGCAGGGAGCAGGTGGGACTTGCAGATCACAGTCAGAAAGGGCTCTGCCGACGGTGCCGAGACGTGTCTCCCCCGATCAGCTCAGACAACAGCCATGGAGCCCTCCCCAGGCCTGGGCCCTGCCACATTAGCCATCTGACCAGGCTGCCCTGCAGCTGCTCCCACAGGCCTCCCAAGCCTCCCTTCCCACCATCTGTCACCTCCCCGGGGAGAGTACGTCAACCCCCTGCTCCCCTCAGAACCACAGTTCAGGTCAGATGCCCTCAGAAGGGAGCAGGGTCCGGGCATCGTCCTCCCCAGCGCAGCCTCTGAGTTGGGGCCTGCGGGGGCGAGGCAGGGGCTGCTGGGGTGGGTCTCACCTTGAGGAGCAAAGCTACAGAAATGGGCGTTCTGGTTTTATCTAAATTTTCATACTGAGAACATCATATAACTTCCCTCTTCCCTCTTCTGTGGAAAAGGGGGAATAAGAATTCCTTATTTTAAGGAGGCTCATGATTCCTGCCTCCTGAGATTTTTTGAGAACCAGATGAGATCAGTAAGAAAACAGTGGGAAACATCGAAAGCATCAGGTAAATGTAAATGCTCTTCATTTTTGTCCAAGCTTCTGGAAGATTTAAAGTCAAGGTTTTCAAAGATTAAAAAGCACAACTTCGGCTGTTGTAAGAGGCGTGAGAAGCAGGCATTCTCATACCTGGTGGGCGGGAAGGTAAATCGGAAAACGTCCATCAAAATGTTAGATGCACCAAACTACCAATTCTACTTGTAGGAATTTACCCACAAACATGTTCACAACAGTGCACAAAAATGTAGAGACACTGTATTATTGTCTAAGATAGCAAAAACTTGGAATTACCACCATGCCCATTAATGGGGACAGGTTAAACTCCTAACAGTCCACCCACACATCACCATCCCAGGCAACCTTTGAAGTCAGTGAAGTCCTTTCATGCAGAGAGAGAGAGACATGCCAACATTAATCATTAAGTGCAAAAAAGCTACACGCAAAATAGTGCGGCATATAGTATAAACCTATTCATGAGGGAAAAAAAATCCTAATGCATAGAAATACACGGAAAGTATCTGCAAGAATTCACAAGAAACTGTTATCAAAGGTGTCCTGTGGGGAGTGAGACTGGAATGGGTACCCTTACTTTTAGTATATAGCCTTCTGTTACAGTTAGACATTTTTTTATTATGTTACGTTAATCACCATACATTACATCATTAGTTTTACAGTTAGACATTTTTACCAGGAATTTTTTTACCTATTAAAAAACTCTCTTGATTTTTAAAATGTGGCTCCTGGTTGGAATAATCACAGTTTTAAGGGTCTGGAACATCTACTCCCCTTGTTTCTCATTATGTAATCTTTGTTCTGATTGACCCTTGGAAGCTGGGTTTTTGCATTTTCTTAAAGCCATGATAGCTCCCAGCTGTCGCCCAACTCTTGCCCTTGTCCTCTTGCTGTCTATTCTCAGAGTGATTCTTGGAAAATGTAAATCTGACCGTGCCACTCCCCTCCGGGAATCCCCCAAAGCCTCTGGTCTCCAAATAAAATAGAAAGTCCTTAGGGCCGCTAACAGGTCCTGTATGCCCCGGGGCCATGGAGCTCCAGGCCCACCTCTCTGAACTCACTCCCTTCTGTTCTCCAAGTTAACCACTCCCTCCACTCCAGCAGGCTCTCTGCGGTCTTCCAAACACACCAACAGTGTCCCCTTCTCTGCACCCACTCCCCACGTAGGCCATTCTTCCCTCACAGCATTCTCTTTGCTTAGAACCTTCTTTTATTTCCTTTGACAAATGTCATCTCCCCTGACTACCCTTCCAGAGGAAGACCGCATGGTGCCTCAGTCTTCCAATTAACACTTTGTGACACTTACCATCACTGACCTGTTAGAAACGTATTTGCATGTTGCAGCTTAATGTTGCATATTTATTTGTTGATTGTCTATCTCTATTCACTAGAACATAACCCCCAGGCCAGAAGGCATTTGCATGGTTATTAAGTGCTGAGTCCCCAGAGCTTACAACAGTGTTTGGCACACAGGGGGCCCTCAACAAATACAGAAGAGTGAGTGAACAAATGATCTTACTTCCAGTCCTCTTGGAAGTAAGGAGGCAAGCAATCGATTATAATTGAGTAATAACAGTGGGTTTTGCCAACAAGAATGAGAACATCAAATTGGCTAGGAGTATGGCTGCTTTCTCACTGGGTTTACCTTAGAGAGTGAGTTCAAACTCGATTGGTGATGCTTCCTCTGATTTTTCAACAAAGTTTTGTCCCACTTTAGACTCTCTCTTCCTGGCTTCAATCTGCCACTTTCCCAGAGCTCCCTATCTCAAGAACATTACCACCATCCACCATGTCGTTGAGGCTGGAAAATTTGAGTGTGCTTGATTTGCCCTCTCTCCATTCCCAATGCCAATCACCAGCCCAAATCTGCTGTCCTGCCCAGATATTGCAATAATTTACTCATGGGATCCTCGCAGCCATCTTGCCCCATAAAGACACACACACACACACACACACACACACTCTTCCTGCCCCCACTACTGCTTTATCTTCCCGCTAAAACACTTCCCGCTCTTCAGTCCCCCACTCTAGGACTTTTCTTCTGAAGCAGGTTTCCCAGGCAGAACCCACCAAGCCAGGGGATCCCACGCCCCACCCCCTAACAACCCATCAGCATCTCTCATTAACACCACTCCCTCTACAGAAGACCACAGGGTAGAATAGGCTAACCCCAGTGCCAAGTTACCCAGAAGATATTGAAGGAATAAGCACTCTGTCAAGCAGGCAGGACAAGGGCTAGATTTAATAGTGTTTGGAAGAAACCACAAAGGTCATGGTGAAAAGACATCAGTAGAGGTCTATTTCCTGGCTCAGACTCATTCTTAACCTATTTACCGGAAAAGTTACAAGGTGTAAGCAGCAACAACAGTTAATAATGGCAGCTTGAGCTTACTACGTGTCACACACGTTTCTACTCTTAGCACATGTTCTCTCGTTTCATCCTCACAAGAGTCCAGTGGCGTGAGTGCCACTATTCTTCCCATTTCTGAGATAAGAAAACTCAAACGCAGAAAGGTTGAAACACCTCCTCGGGGTCACACAGCTGGCAGAGGATTGAGACAGAATGCAAGCCCAGGCAGACCAACTACAGTCAGATCTTACGCACTCCATTTTACTAGCCCAGAAGACTGTGTCAAGACCCTCCTTCCTGTTCCATGATAACGAAGTGTGACAAGAGAGGCATGGGCCCTAAGCAATGAGAGCTGGCTCCAGCTCAGCCAGCAACAAGCCATGGTTTAGAGAAGGTCCAAAAGGAACGTTGGGCTACGTGAGTTGAAATTTCCTCTTCAGCCTAAGCAGAGTGTGGGTCTCATTGCCTCACAACCTGTCTGCGCTCCCACTGACCCCATACTCCATCCCAGAACCGTATCCCCTTCTGCCCCAACCATCCACACGTTCATAACAAGGACCATGTCCTCCCTGCCTCCCTCTGAGCAGAAGCACCATTGTCTCAAGCATCACCTGCCCCTCTCCTTGTTATATCTTATTTTATTTTTATCATTACCCTTAGTACTCTGAGTTACAGGACCCAATTACTACCAATTTATAGAAGCCCTGCACCTTCTCCCATTGGATACACATTCCAGGGAAACCTGACAGTACATTTCTTGAAATCTGCTGCCCATCAGCTGAGGGATAAGGATGTTTTTGCTGGTTTAATATAGTTCAAATTCTATTAGGATAATTGTCACAAAAATTGGTATCTTCTACTGGCAAAAGCCATTAAGCCAGCAAAAATCAACTTTATGAAGAAAACCATGTCTCGGTTTATTTTTCTTTGAAAATTATTTCAAAAGAGTAATAAATGATTACACAGCAATAATGAATTAAGAGATGAGACGAACAGACCTACCTTGTAAGGCGGCTGAGGACGTATCTGAGTATGACTCTGAGGGTTGTTCCTTTGTCTGAATTCTGATGTATCTTTAAAAACGACCTTGCACTTAACCAGCCACTGAGAGAGAGAGAGGATGAGTCACAGGAATTACTGATCCATGATACACTTCATCCGATGATTAACGTGGTTGTCTCTATCAGGGTACAGTAAGTGATACTGTAGGAACAAGATTATCTCCAACACCAAAGCAATAATAGTTTTCTTTCTTGCTTATGCTGCATGCCCACGGCCAGTCACCTCGAGCTCAGCATCTTCCCCACCAGGAGACCCAGGCTGAGGCTGCAGCCCCTCTCTGAAAGAGCACCAGCAATCCTGGCAGAGAACAAAGCGTGCTGGAGGGCTTCAGACCACCAGTGAAATGCTCTAGCCCAGAAGTGACATGTTTAAAGCTCTTAGCATACTGGCAACACCAGGTACCCCTCATTGGCCAGAACTAGTTCCCACCCAACCGCCACAGGGCCAGGAAGTAGACTCTTACCAAGGGCCTGGAGGGAAGAGAGCCAGAAATAGTTGGTGAACAACTTTATGAGCTACCACATTAGCCTTTTGAAATAATAACATCCAAAGCCTTCCGCTTTTATGGTACCACCTCGTTTTCAAAGTACTCTCGCTGACGGTGTTGCTTTAGCTTCTAGAGCAATACCAAACTCCTTTGCAATAAATGTTTGTTGAGCGAGTGATTGGTAAAAGGGAAGATGTTACTATCCCTGCTTACCTAATAGGGATACCGAAGCGCAAGGACTCAGTGGGTTGCCCAAGATTCTCCACCAACATATCCTGATGACAAATGTGTTACCCGGAATGCTCAGCTAAAGAAACAGGCTACGTCTCTGAGTTCTAACCTGATGATAAGCAAGTTTGGGAGGGAGTTTCCTGACCTTTTGACCTGGATGCCAATGATCCTTGTGGGTGTTTCCCTAAGGAACAAATGCATTTCCTATTGCAAAAGAAGGCTGTGTGTGTGTTGGAAGGGATCAGGGAGGGTTAGAGAACGTCTTTGTTCTCTGCCAGCACGATTTTCTTTTGAAACACAGCAAGTTGGAGTCACTAGAATAGGAACACAATTGATAGAGACGTGCAGAAAGGCGCGGAGTTGTGGAAGTGAGACAGCCAATTCCAATTCCGGCCTCCTCTTCATTTCAGGAAAGAATGAATCGGGGTCTGTCTCTGTGTGCGGGCGTGCACCAGCCCGCCGTTCAGTTGGTCTGGAGGACAAAGAGAAAGGTGGCAGAGAAAACAGGCCTTGAGCAGGAGAAGTCGCTGTCGGAGGCTGGGAAGACCCAGAGACCTGCCTCCACGGGGGAAGAGTGCAATCCTGCCGTAGAGTTGCGCGGAGTCAGCGGGAGAGGTAGAAAGGGATCCCCGACCGTCCCCAGCGATAGTCAGGGGTCTTTGGCTTTACTATGTAAAATATGAATGACACGGTGGGTTAAGACAGGCTTTGGGCCCGAAACAAACATAATGTTTCAGTTCTAATTCTAACTTTCCTAGCTGGTGGGGGGAGACTGAGGCAAGTTATTTCATCTCTGCACATCAACTTTCCCAGCTATAAAAATGGGCATGATATTCGTTCTAACTTCCTGGGTTTATTGTATATGGAATAAAAGATTGTAGGCTCTTAGCACGAAGGCGATACTAGGCATCCCTTAGTAATATTTCCATTGTCCAAATGAAAATTTTATTTAAGAGAATATGTGCACTTTCTTTTCTTTTTTAAGTTTATTTATTTAAGTCCTTTCTACTCCCCATGTGGGGCTCGAACCGACGACCCCAAGGTCAAGAGTCGACTGCTCTTCCGACCAAGCCACCCTGGTGCCCCAATGTGCACTTTCTAAAGTAAACAAAATGAATGCTGGAGGGGAAGAAAACAGTTACTGAGACAGGCAAAGAGAAATAGAAGCAAACAGGGATAAAGAGAAAAGAGACAGATGTCTTGGCCTCTTAGGCCGGGTCAGGAGCTGCTCGCTTCCACTCCGCCATCCTCAGCTCCTTATGCCGAGGCTCACGCAGTGGTCCACGGACTCTAGCAGGAGGCAACGGCACCCCAAGGACACTGTGAGTCAGTGGGCCTGGGATGGGCCTGGGAATCTGCATTTCTAACAACCTTCCAGATGAGGCTAGTCCAACTGCATTGGGACTAGACTCTGAGAACCACTGATAAGAGGCCCGGCACTCCTCAGGCCCCAGAGTGAGCCTGGGGTCAGATATGTAGCCTTTACTATAAAGGGGCGCCTATTTGTCGTTTCTTGGACATCTGAAATTTCATAGCCTTGGCCTGTGTTGTGGGTATCTTAGGACTGACCCGGTGGTGTCCCTATTGTCTCAGAGATTCGCACCGAGAGTCCAGGCATGACCAGTGGCTCTTCAGGCCTTCATTCTTCCCTCCTGGTGGCAATCCTCCAGCCTGAGTTTTGGCTCTGGTTCCAGCATCCCGATCTGGCCTTGCCAGCTTCCCTCCCACGGTTTGGAGCTCTGCCAATCAGTCCCATCCAGCATTTGGTGTCTTTTTTTTTTTTTTCCTTTTGCCTTGTTCTTACTAGTCCTCTTGCAGGGAACAGAGTTCTGGACTTTGAATGCTGTCCCCTGGGCAGACCTCCCCACCCACCAGGGGCCGGTCCAGGTCCCCCGCAGCTGGGCTCTGCCTGCTTTGGTTAGGCCCAGCTGTGCCCTCTTGGAAAGTCTGGTACCTACTGGCCCCCATATCACTGCAGATGGTAGCCTCTGACCCTCGCCACTCGACAGTCACCCTGGCCACCTCCTAGCATAAGCTCTGCCCTGGAGGCCAGGTCTCAGCTCATTCTGTACCCTACTTTCTCTGCATTCCCCCAAGAAACTATCACAAGAGAGGCTTGAGCTAAAACAATTAAGAAACCATTTCCAAAAAAGAAAGAAAGAAAGAAAGAAATCATTTCAACCACTACTTATTGAGCAATACTATACTCTTGGCACTGTTTTTGGCCAGACAGCAGGACACAAAACAGAAGAAAGTCCTGCCTTATATTCCAGGGGAGAGACATGGGCAATAAATACAGAAATAATAAGTAAGTGGCATCTCTAGGTATGTTAGATAAAGAGAAAAGTTAAATTAGGAAAAAGGAAGTTAAGAGCGCCGGTGGGTCCATTTTAAACAGGGGGCACGAGCATGGTGCGGGGGGAAGGCAGCATTTGAGCAAGTGCCTGAAGGAGGGGGCTAGCCACAGTGGCTCAGGGAAGTAAGTGCTGCAGGCATGATGGGCATCCTCAGCCTCCTGTTGCTTCTGTTTGCGAGCTGGCTCTCTCCTAATCTGGTGGGTCAGTGGTTCGTACGCTTTGGCATGTCATAGACTTTAAAATGAAAAAAAACTAGGAGGCACTCATCAGAGCTTGCTCCCTTGTCTGGCCAACGGCAATCTGAGCATCCATCCCCATGTCGCTCCTCTTTGGTCGTTCCTAGCATGTAATGTAGACGTGTTCTCGGATCCCCTCTCATGACTGGGACCTCTCCTGATCCCCAGCCACTGTGCAGCTCCCCCAACCACAGTCAGCCCCTCCATACCCTGCCATCCGTGCAGGCCCCCCACCCACAGTCAGTCAGGGTCCCGGAATCAAGCCCAGCATCGGGCTCCCTGCTCAGTGGGGCAGCCTGCTTCTCCCTCTCCTGCTCCTCCTGCTTGTGTTCCTGCTCTCACTATCTCTCTCTCTGTCAAATAAATAAATAAAATCTTTTTTTAAAATATAATAAAAAAATAAAATAAGATATCAGATGATACCGCTTTTCAAATGAAAGCTATTCAACCACTTCCTGTTCCACGGAGACAGAAGTCCAAATTCCTGAGTCTTGCTACAAGGTCCTCTGTGGTCTGGCCCTGCGTGGCTCACTCTCTTTCCTCTCCTCCCACTCTCCCCACCTTCACTATGCTTCAGCCTTCTTTCTGCTCCTTTATCGGGGCTCTCTCTCTCTCTCTCTCTCTCTCCCCTTAGCTCATCTGCACCAGTGCCTCAGTTTGCCTGAAGCTTTTCCGTCCTGGATTTTTCCATGGCTGGCTCCTTCTTGCCGCTCAGATCCAACAGCAGCCCCTCAACAGACAAGCCTTCTCTGACGACTCTAAATAGGTACCCACTCGCTCTCACAGACCACTGTTCTATTCTTTCCTAGTATTTATTACTACCACATTTTTTCTTGTTTGTTGGCTTATTGCTGGACAAACACACACACACACACACACACACACAGTCTTGGGACCACAAGAAGTCCTCCTTTGTTTTATCCATGGTTGTATCCTCAGGGCCTAGAACGATGCCCAGCAAACAGGAATTCAGTAGATGATGGATGAATGCCTAGCATTTGATGGAAGCAAGTGCCATCTACTGTCACCATCTCTCTGTGAAGGAAGAGACATTTAACCCCAAAGAGGTAGAGGCAGGTCCGCACGGTGACAGAGAACACGGGCTCCAGAGTCAGCCTGCCTGAGTTTGGGTAGCGGGTCAGCGCCAGGACTATCTCCCTCAGTTACCTTTAAAGTAGAGATTTTGTAGTCCATCCATACAATGGAATCTTACTCGGTCATAAAAAGGAATGAAGTACTGAATTGTGCTACAACGTGCATGAGCCTCAGAAACATCACGCTAAGTGAAAGAAACAGACACAAAAAGGCCAGACGCTCTGTGGCCCATTTATACGAAATACCTGGAAGAGGTAAATCCACAGATTCAGAGAGCAGATTTCTAGGAACTGGGGGGTGGGGGAGTGGGGAAGATCCGCTTAATGGGTACGAGATCTCCTTTGGGGATGCTGAACATGTTTTGGAACTAGTTAGAAGTGGTGGTTGCACAATCCCGGAAATGTACTAAATGCCACTGAATTGTTCACTTGGGGGGCTTAATTTTATGATACGTTGTGAATTTCACCCTAGCAACAAAAAAGGAAGAAAATGGGGATGTTGTGGTCCCCTGTTAGGGGGACATCGTTGGGATTAAGTGAGGTAATGCTGCAGCACTTAACACAGTGCCTGACGTGTATCACACAATTAAGAAAATGTACCTCTTAGTAGTTAATTTAAATAGAGAAAGCTTTCTGAAATGTCACACCATTTTCAGATTTGTTCACATTTCACTCTAGTGAGAACCGGCAACTTTATCACAGATTTGCATCAGTCCATGGGCCAGAATTTGAGAACCACTGAAATAAACAACTTTGATTCAGATAAAATCACCTTTTGTAAAAAAAAAAAAAAAAAAAAATTGGAGGGGCGCCTGGGTGGCTCAGTCGATTGAGCGTCTGCCTTCGGCTCAGGTCATGCTCTTGGGGTCCTGCGATCGAGCCCCACATGGGGCTCCCTGCTCGGCGGGAAGCCTGCTTCTCCCTCTGCCCCTCCCCCCTGCTCATGCTCTTTCTCACTCTCTAGCTCACGCTTTCTGTCTCGAATCAATTAATAAGATCTTAAAGAAAATTTTAGAGAGCCATCCTACCTCACTTAACAAACTGAAGATACAGAAGAGAGGAGCTGATGACAACAGGGCTATCTACAGTCGGACAGAAGCAAAGGTCAAGGGAGTAAATCAGTGTGAGCCGTTCAGTATTTCTCACTGGAGCGATGACGTCATCACACACACGCGCACGTCCCCAGACAAACGTGCACAACAGCGGAAAAAACACCCTATTACCTGACCAGGAAGAATGTGTCAACCCCAAGATAGAACGGGCCGCTTCGAGAACAAAGGTACAGTGGGTTTTTAGGCACTCTGGTTTTCCACTCGAGCACGTTATCTGCAACAAACATGAAAACCGTGTCTTTTCGTTTCCCAGCAGAAAGTCCTGTGATTTAGGTTTTCAGAACAAGCAAGAGGAACCGCCTTCAACTCTCATCGCTTCAAGAGGATGTCGTGCAGCCCCACAGCTTGAGAGGCCAAGGTAGATGGGCTTAAGAAATGGTGACCAAGACACCTGATAGTGCCCACCATGGACCCGTAACCAAGGCTTTGAGCCGCTTCCTACCCTCCCAGTGCCCGCAGCTCAGGGGCTCGGCAGCGTCACCCCTCCGCCGCGGGCTGGTGCACATCGCCGGGGGGCTTCTCCAAACCCCCCCAGGCCAGCCCCTCCCCTCAACTCCGCCCCACGTGCTGGCCCCGCTTACAAAGAGCGGCTCCTTCCAGGGGTGCTTCGGAGGTGAGGCCGCAGGCAGAAGGCCGAGAAACCCTAATTTAACACCAGTGCACGATATTTATTTACGCTTGACTATTTTTCCGGGAGAAAGAAACGTTAGTTTCTGGATTCATTCATCATTACCAGGAGGAATCCAGCTCTTTGGACAAGGAATATGCCATCCTCAGGTATCGCTGTTCACCTGTTCATAGGGGCCTGATTCACACCCGGGAGGAGGTAAAGCGACCGCTGGGCACTGGCCTGGGAAAGTCACTTGTGAGAGGTCATGGCTATCTCTCTGAAATAGAAGGAAGGCTGCTCTTGGGGAAGGCTGCAGCCCCAACAGACTCCCCTCACGGGAAAGCTCTCTTCCTCAACTGCTCATAAGGACTCATCGGTTCTCCTCACCCAAAGACAGCCATGCAGTCATCTGACTGGTGTGCCCCGACATGATCCAGAGGAGACTCAGAACCCGGATGCCGTTCAGCACAGAGCACGGGCTCCCTGGAGTCTCTGTTGTCCAGACGGCCGGCACATTCTTCTGCCAAGAAAAGCATGTCAGAGCATGCTCCATGGCTCCTAAAAATCCTGGACAAGAGCACAGGTGTTACCATCCACCCTGAAAGCCAGATCAATCCACACGCTGCCCCACAAACGAGTCAAAACACACACACCGTGGGTGATCTCGGTTGTCACACAGACACTCCTTTGCTGTGACCCTGGACTGCTCAACCCAGTTCTCCATGGTCCCCTCTTGATCTATCTGTGCACCTTCGGATGGGGTCTCCCTCCACTGTAAACCTTGACTTGCCCTAGCATGCGTGCCCTGAGGTCAGTGCCCGGAATACACTGCCCAAGCTCAGGCCCCAGGGATGCCAACCCCTGACCCCAGTCCTGTTTTACAAAGTTGGGGGGGGGTCTTAGACATCATTCAGAAACCACATGCTCCATAAAGCCAGCATTCCACTTGGAATGGCATTCCTTCTGTCCTCCCAAGACTGAATTACTTGCAAACCACATCCCTAGCTGTCAAGTACAGGGATGAAAACAGAGGGGCGCATAGCACAGCAGTTAAGGAGGCTGGCCCTCTAGGTAGATGCTCCTGGCTCTGAACCTGGCTGTCCTTTGTTAGATGCTCTGCAACCTCTGGCAAGTGAGTTAACCTCTCTGTGCCTATGTTTCCACATCTACAAAATGGGAATCAAAGCTGATCTTACAATCTTAGGATTCGCATGAAGAACCAATGAGATGACATAACAGCTGATCTACTCACTCGTTAAGCCCTATAGCTTTAATCCCTTCCACTTAACTTATTCCTTCTAATTTCTAAAAAAGTTTAATTGGATTCACTTAGATTAATTCCAGAGAGCTGGAATTGTGAACCGGGAACCTCCAAAGGAAGGCTCAAGCCACTCCAAGGGACTCATACTTTCTCTCGGATGTGGCTTGGCGTTTCCACATTGCAGGTGCAAGGTTGCAGAACTGAGACCTATTTACAAATGAGATCTGGCTTATAACCAGGTGCTGGAACTCTAACTCAGTTTCTTAAATGGGAGAATGTAATTGCCAAACTTTTTGAGGCTCCAGCTGTAAATAGGAGTTTTTCCCTCGGAGTCACTCTCCAGTGTTCCTGCCTGAAGGCACGGAGCTCACCCCGACAGAGGGATTTTCATTCACTAGCACTTGGCATGGCACAATCAGCCGTGTCCTATGTCCTGAGTCCCGGCCCCCCTCGGCTCCCGAGAAGCCACGTGCCACTGTGGAGAGATACGGCCCCGGGCTCTGCCCAGTTTCACCCACTCTTCCGCCTCTCAGGACCTCTTCCCTCCCCTTTAAACTGAGCAGGCTTCTTGGCAGGGCTCTTGTGAGCCTTTGAGTACATTTGTCAAACATCTGGCCTGACGCCTACCTTGGCAAGCGAGTACTGAATACATTTTGCTACCATTTGATTTTTTTTCCAGCTAAATTCTGCTTGTGGGTGAACTTAACTAGTAGCAGCTTATAACACTGTCTGAAAATAACTGGTCTTTGGGGAGGACAGCCTCTCTGAGCCCCTTGTACTCATTTGTACATGGAAAGGAGAAGCCGAAGGGGCATGGGGAGGGTCGGTTGAAATGATGCATGTGGTCAGTGGTCCTCAAAGCGGGGGTTCCCAGTCCAGCAGCTTCAGCATCACCCGGGAACCTGTTAGAAAGGCACAGTCCCAGGCCCCACGCCAGACCTACCCCCTCAGAATCTTTGAGGGTCAGGACCAGCAACCTGGGCTGTGACAAGCCCCCCAGGTGCTTCTGAGGCTCCCGAAGTTGGAGAACCACAGGGTGTGATGGTGTTTTGGAAAACTTTGCGGCCCCTTTGGATTTTCTCAGTGATTATTACTGTGAGCTCACTTCAAGTGACCAAACACAGATTAAGAGCCCTGACTTCCAGAGGCTGAAATCCACAGCTATTTAGTTCATGGAAACTTCCCCAAACATGCACTCGTATTTTTCTCATCTAAGTAGGAAAGGACAGGCTCATGTAACAGGAAACCGCTCTGAGCGAATGCAATGATTATTTGGAGGATAAAGAACCAGGCATCTGAAATACCCAATTTGGCTCTAAGCTTCTAGAAGACACGGTAGTCTTAAGTTGATTTGACTCGCTGGTGAGTGGAAAAGTGGAAAGGAAAAAAGATGCTGACCCTGGGGCTCTCTCCATGTCGATTTTTATTTCCAGCCACTCAGGATGCGATATTTTACTGATGGTATTAAATACAAAAAAATTGCTACAGCAACAGAACATGGAACCCCCCCACCCCCACCCCATACACCTTTCTGAAGCCGCACTTAAGTGTAGCTGCTGAAAAAGCTAACATAACCTTCGTATCCTGATCATAGAGAGTCTTATTTTGGGCTAAAACCCTAATGTTTCAGTGGCTGATTGCTGACTCCCTACCAGGTGTGTCTGCCTAAAATCCTGTGATCTGGCCTTAAAATGCCAAGCTCTGAAGCTCAGCCTTCCAACTAATAATAGGCAAAGGTAAATTTTGGGGACTGCAGGCTCACCCTCCGTCTGACAACTAGAAGCATGCGGCAGGTGCCTGGAACCCAGCTGACCTCAGCAAGGTCAGTGTTAGCGAGAGGGGTTGGCCAATTAAAGCTGCTCCCCTTTCCCGCTTCTGGCTTAAGGGAAGAGAATGAGGAAAAGAGCAACGAATCAGGAGGAGGACAGTTCACATTATCTCGTTTAATTCCCTCAACAAATCCCATTGTATGCCCCCATTTTACGCAGGTGGAGACTGAGTTTCCTAGAGGTCAGACAACCTGACCAAGGGCAGAGTTAGAAACCAAGGCAGGTCTAACCAGGGATCGCTAAGCATGGGCTCTTTCTGCCATGCCCATGGAACCTTCTATGTGGCAGCCGGGCAGCTGAGTTCTTGAACCACATCACATGAGGAGACACTGATGGGCTCTGAGATTTGGGGGAGCCCATCATAACTGGTCCCCAGTATCTGATGTGGAGGAATAGACACAAGAGACCAAGTCGAAGGGCCAAATGAGGGCCTGTGAGTAGAAATTACAGAGCAGCAGGGACTGACTCCGCGCAGGAGCTTAACAATGAACGCTTCCCACGATGATGACCATGGGTGCAGAGGGACCGCCTTCTGACTTGGGAAGGAGGGCGAGCATTCTCAGCTCTTCTGTTACATCATCCTGACACAAACACGCTTTGTGTTGCTTTCCTTGCCGTTGGGAGTTTGTGGTGGTGGTACCTTTGTTTTTGGTTTTGCCTGAAGATCCCAAACAGGATCGGATAAAATCATCTGTGCCCTCCACAGGGGACATACTCCCTGAAGCTACTTGATCACATACTCATAATCTTTTGGCCCATTCATTGAAATGGTGTCTTATTTTTTATCTCCTTAGTTGGAAGAAGGGAAGGCCAATTCTGTGCCCCTGCAGGGGCTCTGCTGAACATGATTCCCCACGTCCTAAAGGTGTTTGCACGAGGACACTATTCTTGTTTCAGAGTGGGGGGAGGGGGCGGGGCAGGGGGCTTTGCGTTGCCATATGGGCAGGCAGAAATGAAGGAAATGCTCTTGACTTGTCCCTGAAACACAACACAAGGTGACCAACCGCTCACTGCCGTCCAGCTCTCCCTTCACTAGGTGGGGTATCTCGCTCTGGCTCAGCTACCCTCCGCCCGCCTTTAGCCAGTTGCGCACTTACCCCCGGCTTTGATTTCTACGTAAATCCTTTACCTTAGTGATGCCAGGGGGGTTCTGTGAGTCATCTGCATAGTTGCGACACTGAAAATAGACACTGGGATCATGGAATTGTTCTCGAAAGGATTACTCCAGTGAAAGCCAAGCTCTGCTCTGACCTAGTCGTTGGGTAGCACAAAGACACACTGGATAATTGTCCCCGAGAAAGAAAGCAGCATTTCCAGCGGCCTTGCCTTAACACTCTGATAGCAAACAAAGACCGCATTGTAAAGAGCAGAGACCCAACCTCCACACTGGCATCTAGAAGCCGTGGGGCATTCACCAGATTCCAGCACCGTAGGGTTTATTTTCCAACTGCGACTCATCTGAGTCACCTCTCATGAGTGGTGTTAGTTTCTTAAAATGCCTACTTTTTCCTCTGCTTGGGGTTCCTGATAGTGAGAGATGGGCCGGGCAACCCGCTCTGCTTCTCGGTTCAGTCCTCTGTGTCTCTCTCAAAGGCAGACTCCTGTCAGGGGCCGGAGGGGTGGGTGGCGCCCTGTCGTCACACCCCCTCCCCCTGAATGCCACGTAGACAGTCCCGGCCAGGGGCAGGACGACGCCCAGCAAGGTGAGGCACCTGCAGGGAGAAGACAGGTGTGACCAAGCCTCCCCTCACACCAATGCCACGGGAACATGAGAGAAACGAGCCCAGTGAAAAACAAACCACTCAAGCCCCCGACTAAGACACAGATAAATATCTAACAGTTTTAAGGAGTGGGAGTGGTGTTCTAGAATAAATAATGAAAGAAATGATAAAAGCAAAGATGAATGGATTTCACTAAATTCCTTATTATAATTATAAAAAATAAATAAATAAATAAACAGAAGCAACCCAAACACTGAGGAAGATACTTGCGGCTGATATGACTAAGGATTCATATCTTTCACCTGAATTATATAGTTTCAAAATGAATAAGAACCCAACTCACAGACATGCATAGAAACAGGAGTGAAAAGTAGAAATAGCAGCTGAACTTGGGGGAAAGAACTCCTTGTTACCAATTTTTTAAAATGTTCATTAAACCAATTTATTTAATCGATCAAATTGGTACTAGTTTTTATAAAGGTAGCCTTTGATGCGGGTGACGGGGTGGTGGTAAAGACATGGACGTCTCCCAGGAGGGGCAGTTATATAAGTGAGGTTTTCAGGAAAGCCTCTTACCAATTATTCCAGCTACAGGCCAGCAATTCTATTAGCTTGTCTGGAGGACCAGTGCATGATGCAAACAAAAAGTAACAGGTAGGATTGCTGAGGTGTTTGTGGGAGAAGCCATGCCTCAAATAAAAGAAATTAATCTTCAGAAGTCACATGACAGGAACAGGACTATTTTGGGACAGGATACATTTCTCAGTGACTCTGAAACTCAATCACATGTGGGTGTGGTCAGCCTTCCTCTTGAACATTTCCGAATTTTCTCGTTTAAGGTACACGGTGATCTCCCATGGAACGTTGGCCAGACATCACTCAGGAATGAAAATTAATTGACTATGCATCGTTGGTGAGCGGAAGTTGATAACATAGCCCCGACATACACATCCCAACCAGGTACCCCAGATGCCCATACTCACAGACACACGGCAACAAAGGTGTCGAAGGGGAACATTCCAGTAGCGCATCTAGCCACAACCACGCCAGATGAGGAGGAAGAATTTATTGTAAAGAGAGAAAGAGAAGGGGCCAAAAATGAAGTATTTCTGAATCTTAAAATATCTACCAAGGGAAAAAAAAGAGAGATTGTATTAATACTACTTTATTTTGCAATAAATAAACTTTTCCAAGAGCTTTCATATCTGTTATTTCAAAACAAAACTTTGACATTAAACAGGGCAGCTGGCTTTTCACATATCTGATGTACAGATGGGGAAAATAAGGCACGAAGATGCTGAGATTCACAGGAGGAGGAACTCAGCCCAGCGCGATGTGGACCGTGCTCTCCAGAATCTGTAGCCCGCCCAGACTCTCGAATCCTCTCCCAGCACAGCACTGGGAAGGACAATCCTAAAAGGTGCCATGGCCAGCTCAAATCTGTTTGCAAACAGGTTCCCACAAGAGAGAGATAAATGCAATATGAAATGAAAAAATACAGTGGAAGCCCACAGGCTGGGGAAAGGTGCAGTTTAAAATGGAAACTCAGAAGCACCAACTCAGGGCACAGCTCATGGTCACTGCAAGTAATTAGTAGGGATTTTAGTGGTAAGATGAGGACCGTGGTCTGGAACTTTCTCGTGCCCCAGAATTACCTAGAGGGTTGCTCCATAGATTGCTCCCTGTCTCCCCTCCCTGCGGGCTGATGCAGTAGGTCTGGGGTGGGACCTGAGAATTTCCATTTCTAACAAGAAACCAGGTGCTCGTGCTGCTGATCAGAGCACACACACTGAGCACCACAGGACCAGGGGGCTTCCAGAACTTCGGCAAATGTTGGGGAGTGGCAATGATAAATACCAAAAAAATAAAATATTAAGTGCCCATTAGGTATGAGACATGTTTTGGACATTATCTTTAATCCATCAACAACCTACAAGAAACTATTATTTACCTTATTTTACAGACAAGGAAAGTTCTCCTCGGATACTCGTGCACATAAGCATGAGTATTAAGTGGCTAAGAATACAGGTTCTGCAGTTTGAGGGCCTGTATCTACTCTTTATAATATGACCATGGACAAGTGACTTCATTGCTCCGTGCCTCAGTTTCCCCCTTGGTAAAATGGAGATAACAGTTCCTTATAGGGTTGTTGTGAGAACCAAATGTAGCAATAGCTATAAAGCACTTAGGAAGTGCCTGGTACAGTCAGAGCTCAATAAACATTGCTGTCTCTATTATTGCTGCTAAGTGGCAGGGACAGAACCCACTCAGGTCTGTATGAACCTGAAGAGTGCGGTCTTTTTATTTCCTCACGCTACCTCATTTCACCACAACACGTTGCCTAGACTTGCATTCAGGAGGCTTCGGTTTGAGCCTGCTTGCTGTGTGACCCTAGGTAAGTTACTTCACCTCTCTGGGTCTCATTTCCTCCTCTGGCTAATGAGGAAGGGTGGGTTGGACACGGTGTCTTCTAAGGTCCTTCTACCTCCATGACTGTGACCAGAGGGTTTCTGAAATGTCCCAATAGGTCACTACAAGATTAATAATATGTGTTAATTGTGATTCTTAATCGTGACTTGTTAAGGATGGAGACAGGAAGGAGGGGTTGTCCACGTGTCGTCAGCACTGGCCACGGGTGAGGGTGCTCCATCAAGCAGGTCCCCAGAGGGGACACGGTGGCAGTTTCCTCAGTATCTGATTCCATTTGCTCTGAATCAATGCCCACCCCCCGCCCAACGGCTACTGCCTGGTTGTACTTGAATTTACCAAATAAACTCTTCCACTGAAACAGAAGCGTATAGACCAGCCACCATGTCCGTCCTCGCTGGAATTTTAAAAGGAATCAACTGGCCTTCTGTTTGATCCATGACCCACTCCGGAGCCTCCGGGCCATGTGAATCAGGCCCTCCAGCCTGATGAGTCCGGACGCCCCGAGAAAGTCAACCTCCCAGACCTACGAGGCAAAGCCCAGCTCCGTCCCTGCAGGGACCTGCAAACCTCCTTGGAGACCACAGCAGCCAGAACCTTCCTTTGTCAGCCTTAACTGCACAGCACGTACTGGGGGCCACAGGGAAATCCAAAATCAAGATGGCAAAAAGCTTCGTAGTTTATCTACACTCTTAAAAACCTTTTTAAAAAAATGTAACTTAGGGCCCTGAATGTAACAAGAAGTACAAGACAACAGAAGTAGGAACAGAATGATAACGTGTATGTCTGGCCTTCCAGATTACACTTCCTTCATCTTCCATAGTTTTTTAAAAAGTTGCTTTTCCTTAGGTCTGACTCTTCCTATCTCAAGAAGCACAGGCTTCATAGCAGCCAGAAAATGTTCCCAGTTGTCTCCAACGATCATCTTCCTGTATCTGGATCCTAGGGGGGCTGCCTCACAGGCCCCAAAGCCTATTAAAGCAAGTTACAACCCACTTCACCTCCGTTGCCTCAGGGGAATCCCTTCTGGAGTCAGCGCTTGCCCCTGGATGGAGTCTGAAGCACTGAGCAACAGTGTCCAGACCCTGAAGGACAGAGGAGGGTTAACACTGCCCTCGTGACCCCAAAGATACTCCAGGGGGCTGGATACTTACACTTGTAAACCCCGGGATAGCTCTGGCCAAGCCAAGAAGCCAGAACGATGCTGTGTGTGTAAGTGTGTGTGCGTGTGTGTGTGTGTGCTGGGGGAGGTAACCAAAGAATTAAACTTGGTTACACTGAAGTCATCATCAGCTTCGGCCTCCAGACACTCAGGCCTATCCTCCCCATTCCCTCGGGGGTAAGAACACATGGTAGGGAGGCTCTGCAGGGTGGCCCCCTCCAGCTCCCGGCCCACCACTTCTCTCTTCCCACCTTCTCCCTGCTCCTATACCACCAAGTGCCTTACCTGCGGAGTGTGGACAACCTAAGCCCCACCTGCCTGACCCTCTCCCACAGCACCCCCTTAGAGGGGGGCTGGCAGCCAGCTGGGCAGGGAATTCTGGGGTTCTAGATACTCAGAGTGTGACTGGAAGAGAAGGGGAAGGTGGGCATGTCCCCTTGATCCCACAGACATCTCATCGGGGAGGACACAGCCAGCGGAAAGCCGGAGGAGTGGTCCCTAAAGTGGGGGGCCTAGGTCCGAGGGCTGCACTGTAGACACCACTCCCCCTGCCCCCAAGGCGCGTACCCTCCTCTTGGGGAGATCGCAGGACTCCGGGGGGCCGAGCGTCAGGAGAGGAGAGAGTGAGTAGAACAGAATGGGGCCCTGGAGGCCCTAAAATCAAAGGGCCTCTGGGAAGAGACTCTTACAGACTGCATTGTGCCCCCTTCCATCCCCCAAATTCCTATGTTGCAGCCCTAAGCACCAGGACTTCAGATTGCAACTGGATTTGGAGGTAGGGCCTTTAGAGAGGTGATTAAGTGAAAACGAGGCCATCACAGTATCCAATTCAGCCGGTGTCCTTGTATGAAAGGAAGACTGGACACACACATGTGAGCACACACCCAGCGAGCAAGCCCAGGAGAGAGGCCTTGGGAGAGACCAGCCCAGCCGCCCCCCGGGACCCGGGACTTCCAGTCGCCAGAACCAGGAGAGGTGCATCTCTGGTGCTAAGCCCCCCGGTCTGTGGTATTTTGTTAGGGACAGCCCTAGCCACCTAAACACAGCGACCCGCCAGGTGGCAACACGGGCTGAGGCAGCGCGGGCCCGGGAACCCAGCCGAGACTCGGGAATGGGGCTGCCTGTGGACGGCTGGGTCTGCTGGGCACGGCCGCCCTCCCCAAATGACCGGACTCGATGTCCTGGGTCCTAGCAGCACCGAGGGGAAGTGCCAACACCCTGTGCCAAATCCTGCTGTAGTTAATAAATCCAGCTGGCAGCCTGTGTGCAGTCGACTGAAGCTAAGTGTCTACACGGCCAGATTCTAGGTCTATACAGGGGAATAGGGGACCTCTGATCTGTTTCCCACCAACATCTCATCACGCGCCATCAGCAACCCCTTTGCTCTCGCAGGCCCGCTCAGGCCCGCGCGTCCCCTTCTGCCCCCTCCAGTGTGGCTCTTGCCCCGAACCCCGCGGCTCCCCAGAGCTCCCCTTCACGACCGCCTGTCCCACGCTCTCCCCGGGAGCTCCCGTGGGTACTTCCTGAGCGCCTCTCACTTCGGGCACACACGGCCTTTTCCTACTCACTAAATTGGAGGGTTCCCCAAATGAGTGACTCCCAATGCTTTCGATTCTCCCCCCTCTGCACACACATGTGATCTCCCACAAAGACCAGAGGCAAACGTACTCGGGACATATTTCCTGAATTAAACTGAGAACACAACATGGTATTCCGTGAAATGTTTTGGATTCCTTTTGAGGCGCTTCTGTGGGTAGTTCAGGGAGTCATTATTAAAATAGCTCCATTTTAGGGGCACCTGGGTGGCTCAATCGGTTAAGCGTCTGCCTTAATTAATTATTAAATTAATAAATTAATTTAAAAAAAATTTCCACATGTCCCTGTGGAAATCAGAAAACCTTGATTTTTACAACTGAACAAATTATGCCTTGTGACTCACACGTATTTGGAGAACTGCTTGCAAGCGTGCGACCCCCTTTTGCTTCCCGTATAGAATCCCCTGTAGCTGACGGGCTTCGGAGCCCTTCCTTGGGGCAACCTGAGTTACTGTCTCCTGGGCCACTGTCCTCAGGAAGACAATGAATAAATACTAACCTACTTTGAGGTTGGCTTCCTTTTGGTCCACACTCTCAACACCCAGGTGTGACATATTTTCATTCTCAAGAACTCACACCGAGTCAGGTGACTGAAATGTTATAAGATCCTATGGCAACCACACGGTGCAGTTTTTTTGCCTGGAAGTAATACCTTCTGCCCTGCCCAGAATTGTCTTCCCTCTCTCTGCAATCTTGGGCTCATTTCTTTTTTTTAAAGATTTTATTTATTTATTTGACAGAGAGAGACACAGCGAGAGAGGGAACACAAGCAGGGGGAGTGGGAGAGGGAGAAGCAGGCTTCCCGCCGAGCAGGGAGCCCAATGCGGGGCTTGATCCCAGGACCCTGGGACCATGACCTGAGCCGAAGGCAGACGCTTAACTGTCTGAGCCACCCAGGCGCCCCTTGGGCTTGTTTCTTCTAGGCCTGTCTGCAACGGTGCCCACCTGGGAAGCCCCTGCTCTCCTGCTCTGGGGGAGCGAGGCCTGCAGACAGCTAGCTACAGGGCACCATGGCTGGGCTGGCTGCCCCCACAGCTGTAAAGGAAATAATGGCAATTCCACCAAAAAGCTTTAGGGAACGGCCGAGGAAGCTCCCCTAATACATTACCCCTGTCAGCCTGGCCCACCCCAGGCAGGGCCCTTCCTTTTCCCAGGTCCTCAAAGACAATCAAGATATCTTTGTATTGATAATAGCGTCTCACCTTCCACTTTATTCTAATGTCAACTCTGGCTAATCAGCTTAGCATTAGCCAGAAAAAATGAGGCTAATTGATAAATCTCTTAAATAATAATGAACATTAACTCAGACTGAGTGAGCCACTTATTCACTTGAAATGCTAATCTAATAACAACTTTGCACATTCATCTTTGTTGCTAGGATATTGATGGCTTCGCCAACCAGAACTGAAATTGAGATTTAATTCATAGCAATTGGTTTTCTTTTTAACAGCACATAAAATATTTGTCTAGGGAGACAGATACTGGACCCGAATCTGGAGGGATAATCATAAATTCAGAGGACAGTGTCAGGTTATTGAAAACTAATCGCAATATCAACACTTAAAGGAAGATGTTTAATACGTGTGTGATATTGTGATATAATAAGAAACCTATATTTGGCCTTCCGCCTGGGTTCCTGGCATGGAGCTCATAAAGCCCTTGGAATTTCCTGAGTGAGAGGGGTAGGAGGAGGGTGTGCTCTTATTCATAATAAGCTCCTTTCAACCAGACTTGAGTTGATGCTAACAAGATGACTCCAGGAGGAAGGGGCTGGTTGACAGAGGAACCAGTCCTGGGATTAGATTGTAACTTCCAGCCCCATCCCCCACCTCCGGGAGGGCCAGAGATTGAGTCAATCACCAATGGCCGGTGATTTAATCCATTGTGCCTACATAATGGAACCTCCATGAAAACCCTACACAAAGGGGTTCTGAGAGCTTCTGGGCTGGTGAACACATCGAGGTGCTGGGGTGGAGGGTCACCCTGAGAGGGTGAGGAAGCTCTGCGTCCCTTCCCAATAGCTTGTCCTGTGCATCTCTTCCATTTGGCTCTTCCTTTATAATAAGCCAGTAATAGTAAACTGTTTCTCTGCATTCTGTGAACCATGAGAGTGAATTATCAGAACTGTGGAAGATACTATGGGAACCCCTGATTTGTAGCCACGTCAGACAGAAGTGTGGGTAACCTCAGGCCCCACTACTTGGGATTGGTGTCTTTAGTGGGGGAGAGTCTTGCGGGAATGAGCCCTTAACCTGTGGGGTCAGCACTCTCTCTAGGTAGTGTCAGAATTGAGGAATGTGGGGGTGGGGGGGGAGACACACACATTTGGTGTCAGAAGTGTTCAGTCAGTATAGAGAACCAGTGTCTTCCTTTTAATGTGTCGTGTCAGTTCTCATTTGGATGACCGGAATAAATACAAAAGATGCTAGCAGTAAAACTTCTGGGCTTTAGAACTCTTTCTTTGAACACTTTGAAAGAATTAGAGGAAACCAAACCAGTTTCCATGTGAACTGAAGTGTATTCATTCTGTGAGGCGAAGGTCAGAAGAGTCTGCAAGGCCGCAGGGAGCCACACTGAACTTCCAGGTCCACCCCCTCTCCGTGCAGAGGAAGTGACTAAAATGTGGGGAGATTAAGTGATTTGCCCAGGATCACACAGCTGCGAGGTGACAATCAGGACCAAACGCGGGGCTCCTAGCGCTAATCCATGACAACACATCAGCTGCACACAATCCCAGTTCAGAATGGCCTTCTGGAATTGGCACCTGACAGATTCCCACACATGGGCCACAGCAGAGAACATTCACAGTATAGAAACCCGACACGGCCCACCTGCTCTCTTCAGGCCTAACCGGGCCACTGTGGACACCTGGAAGATTGTTTACATTTCAACTTTGATTGTGTGAAGATTCAGCCCTTACCTTCTCTTTATTCTTTCTCCTCCTTCCTACTACTCCTTTCCTATCCCTTGGCCTCCATTCCCAAATCCCCAAAATGCCATTGTTCTCCGGGTATTGGACTTATCAGGATGAAAGGTTGGTCATTCCTGAAGGAATGGCCTTTCTTGGCTCCAAGGAGTTGGGAGTCTTCAAACTTTATGCTAAGACAATAGTTTCCCTGGGTATCTTTCGGACCTACCCAACTGAGACATCACAGTCACATCCTTTTCGGCACAAGAATCAGGGACACACACACCCACGCTGTATTCGGCTCCATCCTGGAAAACACAATGCCACAACGCTCTTTCATTTTAATGTTCACAGTATACGTGCACCATCTTTTCTGAGGCCTCTGCTGTGGACTGCCCGAGAATTAAGAAGATTAGGACAGGGGAGAGAAAGGTATTGAAAGAAGTTTGCTGACATCTTTGGAGATGGCTGTCCCTTTACAGAGTGGTTCGAGTTAAATTTACAGAAGACCAGATGCACTCATCTTGAAATCAAAGCTCGCAGCTGATTGTTTACAAAGCCACCACCAGTGTGGGATCTGCCCCCATGCATCTGTCCCCCCCTTGCCCCCCCTGGAACGGGTCATATTAAGATTTGGCGGCCCTACGATTTCCAACAGAATTGCCAAGTGGCGATTTCTCTATGGCAGGACACAACATCTCAAGTAAAGATTTTATTCATCAGTCAAGCCCGTGATTAGAATGCGTGTCCCAATAAAGAAAAGATCAAACCGTAAATAAAAATTTCGGGAATGCTTCTTCTAAACATGTAACTTACATGATTGTGTAGGCCTGACCTTTTGCTCTGATATCAAAACCATTAATCTGCTTCAAAAATGAGATACAACATTTGTACACACTGATTAAACTCTCAAGCAGTCATTATCATAACCCTCAGTGGGACAAGTGGAGTTGGGTGATAATTTCTCTATCTCCAGTGGTTAACCATTGCAAGACCGTTTTATAGCATTTATATTAGAGAGCTTGGATTTCTTCTTGCTATTTTATGTGACTGTTTCTAGCCAACCCGTTATTTTTATGTTAGTGTGGTGTGATGTCATAAAGTCTATTTTTGTATTTAACAGGAGGCTGTGTTGCTCCTGGTTTTATTTTCCAGCAGTAAAAGAACTATCATGCTTTGAAGATAATAAGCCCTGTGACCTCAGGCACATGCAGTGATGTTCAAAGAAGTCTGGGCCCATCTGCTAAAATAACCTCAAATTCCTATCTCAGAGCTCTGAGATACCTTTTGGTATTCCCAAAACGGATGGTGAGTCAGGAGTTAATGGCCAAAAACATTGGCTGGGACTTGACCTTGGATTCTACACGGAGGTTGTCCAGAAGGCTTGCCCCATACGATGGGGCGGGAGGAATGTCTGAAGGCCCAGGCGGTTTGTGGACAACCGCCTCCTGTAACGTCCCACACTCAGAACATGCAAGTGCAGCCGTTTGCAATTTAGTTTTAACGTTTTGCCAAACATCTTTAGAGTTTGGGGCTTTTTTACTAAGAGAAACAAGCGATGGGCTTGTACGGGGTGCCCTATCGCGAAGTTCCGCCGTCCCCCGAGAGCACGAGTGCGCACCCGCCACGCTCACCTGCAGGACATGCAGCTTGCAATACTGCCCTCGGAAGCCCCCCGAGGGAGCGTGCGTGGAGAGGCACTCACTGTACGATCCCAGTCTGTCCACGTTTCCGTTAAGAACGTTGCTCCCCAGCTTCCCGACGGAGTCGTACACTGAATTCCAAAGCAAAAGAAGTAGGCAAGGTTAGCTTCTTTCTGCTACTTTCAAATGAATTTATAGGCACTCGGTTCCACCTCCTAAAGCAATCAATCTGAAATGACGGAAAAAAGAAGAGAGACAGATGCATTTAGCTGCCACTCTGTGAGCCTGCATCTTGTATCCACAGCCCATCTTCACTGAGGGAGAACAGTGATGTATGTTCTCATGTTGGTTGCCTGGTCTGTTGCTGAAAAAAAATTAGGAATATGAATGCTTTTAAATAATAAATGCTTTGAGGGAGTCAAAAGACATAGCTAAAAATTGGTAGCTTTTCTTTCTCCCCCGTACAGCCAGGAGAAAATACTCAGTCTTTAACATTTTTTATCCAGTTTTGTGGGACCTTATTTTAGACAATTTTTTTTTTTTTTTTTGCTCCTTCAGGAGTAGAACAGTCACCATGTTCCCCTGTTAATGGCACTCTTCACCCTGGTCCTGCAAAGCTCTTTTGTTTATGTTCGTATGTGTCCTTGTGTCCTTCACTTTAAATAATTCATTTCCTTTCATTTTTCTTTTTTTTTAAAGATTTTATTTATTTATTTGACAGAGAGAGAGAGAGAGTACAAGCAGGGGGAGCGGCAGGCAGAGGGAGAGGGAGAAGACTCTCCACTGAGCAGGGAGCCCAATGCAGGGCTCGATCCCAGGACCCCGGGATCATGACCTGAGCCGAAGGCAGACGTTTGACTGACTGAGCCACCCAGGTGCCCCTCCTTTCATTTTTCTTCATCTCTCCCTTCCTCTCTCCCTTCCCTGTTACCCCCACCCCGTACGTTTGACATCTGTCCTCTCATTCGTAGGTGTTCTTGTTTTGTGTAAGTGTATTTATAATTTATATAAATGATTTTGTGCTTCGGATCTCCTGTTTCTACACATGTCACTCAGGGCGACGTCTGTGGTGTTATTCATGCTATATTTATGGTGTTACTATGCTCAGACCTTCTAACTACTTGTAATAATTCATCAGAATCTTAGACTCAGCCATTCCCTGGGTGATGGACACAGAGATGGCCTCCACCCACAGAAACACCCCGAATGTCTCCATACAGACCTACATGAGGCTTTCGCTCAGAAACACACACCAGATATACAACCGTGAGTGGGATTGTTGAGTCATAAAGTAGATAAATACTGGTAAATCCCACCAGATTGTGCTCCAGAGTGACTCCCCCAGTATACCCTCCCCAGAGATGCCAATTCCTATTTCTTCTTTGCATCATCCAGCTTTCATGTTTTTGGCAATGAATGGATATGAAATGCTATCCAGGGGCGCCTAGCTGTCTCAGTTAGTAGAGCATACAACTCTTGATCTCAGGGTCATGAGTTCAAGACCCACATTGAGTGTAGAGCTTATTTAGGAAAGAAAAAAAAAAGAAAGTTAAAATGCTATCCAGGGGCGCCTGGGTGGCTCAGTTGGTTAAGGGTCTGATTTCAGCTCAGGTCATGATCTCAGGGTCCTGGGATTGAGCCCCATAAAAGGCTCCCTGCTCAGCGAGGGAGTCTGCTTCTCCCTCTCCCTCTGCCCCTGCTCATGTGTGCGCTCTCTCTCAAATAAATAAATAAAATCTTTAAAAAAAAAAAAAAGCTTGTATAGAGTTGAAACACAGAAGTAGTAAAAATAGAATAGGAATTGTTTATACGATTTAAGATTACCAAGGAAAAATGTAAAATCTCACGTAAGGACACAAAAAAAGACTGGAGTAATTTGCATGACACCCAATGATGGCTTAATACAAAACTGATGTCAACTTACCCCATATAATCTATAAATCTGAAGCAATTTCAATCAATATTTTAGTTGGATATTCCAAGGAGCTCAATAAACTTCTTGTGAAATTTTCTGAATACAAATTTTCTGAAATTTGTATGAATCCTTAATGGTCTACAAATTAACTAGCTCAACTTTGACAAGAAGACTAAAGGCAGGGGTGCCTGGGTGGCTCAGTTGGTTAAGGGTCTGGTTTCAGCTCAGGTCATGATCCCAGCCTCCTGGGATCGAGAGCCCCACTTTGGGCTCTCAGCTCAGCGGGGAGCCTGCTTCTCCCTCTGCCCATCCCCTTCCCCCAGCTCGTGCTCTCTCTCAAATGAATAAATAAAATCTTTAAAAAAAATCCCAAAAAACAAAAGAAGACTAAAGGCAGATAGGCAATATACTACAAATCCATAATAATAAAAACCATATGGTTCCGGTATTAGAACCAGGACTGGCTTCGTGGGCATGTGACCTGTGTAGTCACATGGACCCCACACTTGCTTTACGTGTGATCTGCTGTCACCATCTTGACATTCTTAATAATTTTTAAACAAGAGGCCATGCCTTTTCATTTTGCATTAGCCCTGCCAATTATGTAGCCAGTCTTGACTAGAACAAAGATTGTCGAAAGACTGGAACAGAAAGTGAAGGCTCAGAAGAATGGATTTCTGCCCCAAAAAGGACGCTGTGGATAAGGAGCGCACAGATAACCTACTGAGTCTCAGTGTTTTCAGTGACTCAGGTAGACAAGGACCAGTATTTAGAGTAACAAGGAGCTCTTGCACATCAAAGAGCAAATCCATTAACAATGGGCAAAGGATACACACAGTACTTCACAGAAGAGAAAACTTCAATGGCTGGCTGACAAACAAAAATATCCTGAGTTCTTTGTAATTAGAGAAATGAAAGTTAAAACAACTGGATAGCATTTTAATTTTATTTTTATTTTTTTAAAAGATTTTATTTATTTATTAGAGAGTGTTGGGCAGCTTTTCCATTTTTAGAATTTTTCATTTTGATAGCTGGTGTTTCACTGTCACCCAGCGTTCTAAGTGTTTTGTGAGCATGTTGTGAACCCTCCACTATCAGGTCTTTTTGTGACAAAGGGGTTCTCTGTAACATGTTACTCAGTTTCCATACACGTAGCGTTTCTCTTTTAGCTCTGCCTTTGTTGTTTCGAAGTCATGTGTCTGATTATCTTTCTTTCTGGAAATTTTTACAATTTCCTCATTGTTTTTCATGTTCTTAAGTTTAGTTGGGTCCTGACAGGTACGCTGGGATGTGAATTTTCTTTATCAGTCTGGACTGAAATGACGTCATTTCAATATGAGGTCTTTTATCTTCTTTTAATTCTGGAGAAAATATTGCTATTATTTGTTAAATATTTCTTCCTTTTGCTTGTTTGGTTACATTTCTCCTTCAACGGCACTTCTGGCCCCAAAATCTCTCAGTGTTTTGTTTCCCAGCTCTTTATCCCTTCCGGCTATACTTGCAGTTCTCCTAAATGGATCTTCCAGCTCCTCGTGGTCCTTGGCCTCCATCTACCTTACTTACTACTTATCCCATTTATTGTGCTATTTATCTATTTCAACTAGTTTTACTCTAATAGTCCCTCTTGATTTTATGATTTTTTAAAAGATTTATTTATTTATTTGAGAGAGAATGCACGTGAGTCAGGGGAGGGGCAGAGGGTGAGGGAGAGAATCCTTAAGCAGACTCCCCATTGAGCATGGAGCCCCACGTGGGGCTCCATCCCAGGACCCTGAGATCATGACTGAGCTGAAATCAAGAGTCAGATGCTTAACCAACTGAGCCACCCAGGCGCCCCTTGACTTTATGATTTCTTATTCACACTTTGTATTACCAATGTTCTCCATTAGCTCTCTGATTCTATTTATTGTATTTATTTTTATTATTTTTTAAAGATTTATTTATTTATTTGAAAGAGAGAGAGAGAAGGGGAGGGGCAGAGGGAGAAGGAGAGGAAGAGAATCTCAAGCAAACTCCCCTCTGACCACAGAGCCCCGTGTGGGGCTCGTCCTCACGATCCTGAGAGCATGACCTGAGCGGAAACCAAGAGTCAGACACTCAACTGACTGAGCCACCCACGCTCCCCTACTGTGTTTATTTTAAATCTTTGATGACCATCTGTTCCAATAATTCAGCTTCATGTAGTATACATATTTGTTCAATTCACTGTCATTAGCTTCGAGAATATAGTAAATAGGATACAGTTGGATTTTCTTCTAAGCTTGATTAATATGGTCCAGTTGATCACTTTCCCTTAAAATTACTTGGTATGACCTAAGTTGCCAGAGCCAGATCCTCACATTATGCCAACAACAATCAACATATGGAGTCTATTATGTGCCAGGCACTGTTTTGAATGCCTTCTGTCCATTGTCTCTTCTACCCCTCACACAATCCTATGAGATTATGAGTAATCATTTTAATCTCCATTTTACAGATTCATAAATGGAGGCAAAAGATGGTAAATAATGTAAACAGCAATATAAATCTGCCCTTTTTTAATTGCTCACGAGAATCAGAGCTGGGTATTTAAACTAGCTAGTAATGATCAGAGCTATGTATTCAAATCCATCTTGACCTGAACCCATAGCCTCTTGCCCTCTAAAATACACAAAAATAGGGCGCCTGGGTGGCTCAGATGGTTAAGCGTCTGCCTTCGGCTCAGGTCATGATCCCAGGGTCCTGGGATCGAGTCCCGCATCGGGCTCCCTGCTCCTTGGGAGCCTGCTCCTCCCTCTGCCTCTCTCTCTTTCTCTCATGAATAAATAAATAAAATCTTTAAAAAAAATAAAATACACAAAAATACCCCATTTTTGTTTGTCAGTTTGGTATATAAGTTCTTATATATAACTAAAGATAATGATAGTCCTTAGAATGAGTGGGGAGAAAAACTCCACATACAGCTTGGCAGATTATGCATCTCTTCTTGCATTTCTTTCTCTTTACTAACAATTGGGTTTCTGAGAGTTAACCTAAAAATCAGATGGAAGGAACTGCATTCTGCTGCATGTGTGCCTTTAAAAAAAATAATAATAATACATGATTTTAAAAACCTCCCGGCCAGAACTAGGCAAACAGTCCTTGATGAGCTGTCTGGGGTAACCTGACTTTCACCATGTGCTCCTGACTCTTCTGGCCAGTTCTGCTGCTCAGGCTTCTTGGGCTCAGCCAGCAGGGATCTGTTATCACTGGCCTCTTTTAAATGATTCGAAGTATTCCAGGTTGATGCTGTAATGACAATAACTGAGCCTCCCTTACTCCCTCCCCTGGGAATGACTCTCTGTCTCCGCAGAACCCTGGAGCTGGCATTCACTCGGTCATTTGCAACCAGCAACCATCTTTTGAGCTAAACTGTCTGAATTACAAGACTGACCACGTCCCTCCCTTCTTTACCATTGTTCTCAGGCACCATGAACAAAGTTAAATGTAACTCTCGGAGAAGAGGACCTATTTACCGTATTAAAAACTTGGATGAAGCATTGCATTCGGATTATATAAAGAACCCTTACAAATCAGTAATTTTTTAAAAGTCAAAGAAGCTAATTTAAAATCTGCAAAGGAGGGCGCCTGGGTGGCTCAGTTGGTTGGGCGACTGCCTTCGGCTCAGGTCATGATCCCGGAGTCCCCGGATCGAGTCCCGCATCGGGCTCCCTGCTCGGCGGGGAGCCTGCTTCTCCCTCTGACCCTCCCCCCTCTCATGTGCTCTCTCTCTGTCATTCTCTCTGTCTCAAATAAATAAATAAAATCTTTAAAAAAAATAAAAATAAATAAATAAATAAAATCTGCAAAGGACGTGAACAGGCAACTCTTGGAGAAGGAAATCCCAGGATCCAATAAATCTGAGAAAGTTGTTCAGCCTCCCCAGCAAACCACAATTAGACACCATTCTTTTCTACTCATCTGATGGCTAGAGAATTATAAGGTTGATGGAATTAAGTGTTAGTAAGAATATGAAGAGATGCTTCTCTCCGTTTGGGCTCCTAGAAGCTATCATCCCTGGGAACAGCAACTAGATGCTGGAGAATTACCACTCCCCAACTGTGCATAGTCTTGACAGAAAATCAAGGTGCTCTTTCCTGTCACCACAGAGGTTGGCAGGGTCCCAGGAAGCTGTTGTCACTCTACTCTCCCACTCCTTGTGACATGAGGTCCAACCGCTCCCAGTGCTAGTGTGGAGTAAGTCAAGGCCCAAAGCAAAGCTTGGGCTTCGTTCTTCTATTGGTGGTCAGCTGGGTGGCAGCGGAATGGACCCAACTGGCAGAGAGACCCGGGCTCAGCAGGTCATTGGCCTTCCTATCTGGTGAGCTTCCATGCTCAGTGGGGAGTCTGCTTGAGGATTCTCTGTCTCCCTCTGCCCCACCCCTTGCTCGAGTGTTCTCTCTCTCTCAAATAAATCTTTTTTTAAAAAGAATAATAAATATATTTTACAAAACAAAATAATATTTTTTCTAAAGATTTTATTTATTTATTTGACAGAGAGAGACACAGCGAGAGAGAAAACACAAGCACGGGGAGTGGGAGAGGGAGAAGCAGGCTTCCCGCCAAGCAGGGAGCCCGACGCGGGGCTCGATCCCAGGACCCTGGGATCATGACCTGAGCCCAAGGCAGATGCTTAATGATTGAGCCACCCAGGCGCCCCAAAACAGTATCTTTCTAGTAGATATATATACACAAAAATGCAAGAAGTTTCTGGAAAGTTCTAGAAGGATATACACCCATTGATAACAACTGTCATCCAAGAAGGGGACTGAGAATTAAATGAGGGAACAAAAAACTACTTAAACTTGGTCTGTGCTGTTTTGATTCTTTTACAGTGAGAATAGATTCATATATTATTCAGTAAGTATAATATATAAACAATAAAATATTAAAAATTTTAAAAATCAGTGTACATTTAAAATAAATTCTTCAGTTGTCATTATCTAGAGTAGGAGTTGGCACACTGTGGTCCTATTTTTTGTAAGTAAAATTTTATAGGAATATAGCATCTCATTTGCTCACGTGTTGTTAACGCTGCTTTCTAGATACAGGCAGGGTTCAGTAGTTGCAACAGAGGCTGTGTGGCCCACAAAACCAAAGTATTTGCTATCTGGTCCTTTAGAGGGAAGCTGCAGACCTCTTACCTAGAGCTGTGATGCTCAAGCCTGGGCAGACATGAGAATCCCCTGGGGCATCTTTAAAAAATACTAAGACCCAGGCTTCACCCTCACGAAGAATGAAGTCAGGGTGTGGCTTGGGCATTAATTGGTTTTTTAAATTTTCCCAGGTGATGCTCTGTGCAGCCAGGCCCAATTGTTCTGATCTTTAGGATTAATTCCAGACTCCTGAGGGTGGTTTAAAAGGCCCTTCGTGACCGGACCTGCCTCTCCAAGCTCATCCTCTCACACCCACACCCATTTCCTCTGCTCCATTACACAGAACTCACCAGGCCTGCACTTGTCTGCGTTTCTGCCTGGAATGTCCTTCCTGTCTGCCTGGAAAATGCTAAATCATCCTTTGGGTCTCTGCAGAAGGGTGGTCTCCCCTGGGAAGCTGTCTAGACTCTTGCTTGGTGTATCACACTAAAAGGCATGTAATGGTTTACCTGTCTGTCTCCCATGTGAGGGAGGGCCTATTTCCATTAATGGATATTTCAGAGGAGGACCTCTAAAAACATTTGCTGGATTGAATTACACCTTGAAAAAATTAAACTTAAATGCCCCAAATCCAGCTCCATGAATGTATTTTGAGGTCCTCCGTGTGTCAAGAAAACCAGCAACAATTTAAAAAACTGGATGTGTTTATTAGAGATAAGCTAAATGATTCCCGATTCCTTTCTCTATCACTGAGTATCCCAAATGCTGTAGCCTGAAGTTTAAGGATCTGGAACTATAAGAGTCCTAGGAGATAAAAACAAGAGAGATGTCAATACTGAGCCTGACTTTACCCTTAGATAAAACTCTAAAGCACTAATATAGAGAGACATCCAATTATTCACTTGAGAAGATCAAATTCTTCTTCTTTTTTTTTTTTTCCCAGTTGGTGTTCTGCTTTGTAAACTGATTGGATTTATGGTTTTCTGGCTGAGGTTATTTTGGATGCATGCAAATTTTCAATTGCATTTGCTTCCTTTCTGATTATGAACTCAAAGGGACAAGTTGCCCTTTTCTTGCCTCCTGCTTAATTGGTTTCTATCAGGAGCCCAAGATGCTGGGCCGTGGGTGCCATCCAAATAAAAATACATTATGATTGTCTTGGGAGGGAGGCATAGGATAAACTAATGATTAATCCCACCCGTTACTTCAAATCACATGGCCATTGTTTCAAGTTTTCATTTCCAAAAGATGAAAAACAACCCGTTTCAATTCTGCTGGGCTAATTGGCAGACAGATAGGCTTTCTCACATGGTGGTGATAATATGTGGATATTAAAATGTGGAGTTGATTAACTTCTGGGTTGGAAAGGAGGAAAGACAGACCCTGGTCAGTGGTCTTATATTTTAAAATATGGATGCATTTATACCATGAAGCTG